TCTGCAAAAGGATGAATTCTCTAATCTTAACAAGGCGGAGTAACGCGATGATTTTATACAAGGCCGCTCAGTTGGTGGCTGTTCTTCCGCGACTTCGCATATTGTGAACAAAGGATCAGAAAGCGACTGTAATCGCGCCATGAAAACTTACGGCGGACTCAAAGGCGGCGAGGCGATAAAGGAGCCGGCGAAGCGAGGGCAGCCCCGTCACGGCCGTGCTGGCCGGCTGCGCGGCTGCCGTCTTTGACGGGTTCGCGTTTAGCGTCTGTGATCTAGTCCTGTGGTAGGTGCCACTGCCCAGAGAGAGAGTGTAAAAATTGGTGAGAAGTCAAGGGTACAAGTGGAGAGAACCATTAAACAGCCCCACGAATCCCTGGGGGGAGAACCTGACTTGTTACATGTTGGGGAAACAGGAACGGGGGGGGGGGGGGGGGGACACTCAGCCAGCTGCGGGGCAGCGACAATAACTGGCCATAACCCCCGCACCCCAGAGCAGATCCCGGCCCGCACTGGGTTAATCTATGTGCCTGTTTCCATGTATGACCCCCCCATGAGAACACCACCATGGACAATTTAGTCCTTTCAGAGTCCCAGCAGCCATCAGAGTCTCCACACAAGCTGGGAGGGGTGCAGGGTCAGCAATTCTGGAGCACGGGTGAGCAGTTTGGGAGTACCGGCTCGACCCCCCAGGCTAGGCAGAGAGTACCGGCTCGACTCCACAGGCTAGGCAGAGAGTACCGACTCGACCCCCCAGGCTAGGCAGAACACCTGCCGCTCTGGTTTGAAGCTGCCGCTTTGCCCTGTGTGAGCCACTTGTGGCGACATAAAACGCTGGAGAGGGATTAAGCACAACCCCCCCCCCTGCCATCGGGACACCTGTTCCTTAAGTACAGTGGATTCAACATTTGTCGAACTGGTGCCACACGGCTGTTGCACTGTCACATCAAGGCTTCTGTTCAGGTCAGAGCTCAGACTAACTCCAGTTTGCCATCTTGCCCTGCTCACACTCACACACACACACAGACACTCACACACACACACACACATCCCCTCCCTTATATTCCAGAATTCCAGATACCACAATAAAACCAGCAGGGATTCACTGGCCTAACACGTTAAGGGAAGTTTCAGAACCCACGTCCCCCCCCCCAAATTAAGTAACTTTATAATAAATCACTGCGCTTGGCTTTCTGCGGATTAGCGGGGCTCCAGTGAGCAGTTTGTTAAGCGGTTTTGTAAAGAATAAGGAACTATAGCAAAGCTGAGAAAAATCACGGGACAAATACAGCAGGACCTCGTAAAAAGGGGCTGGCGGCCAGTTCGGTTCCACATCCCTGTAAAAATACTCCCCAGCTCTGGAGAAATTAACTGGAGGGAGGGAGGGAGAGGGAGAGAGAGAGAGAGAGCGCTTACTGTGTCGCTCTGGCAAGAAGGTATTTCCTTAGGTTTCTCACCTAATTTGTTCCTTATGATATCGCTTGTATAATCGCTCGAGGAGTTTACTAGAGGAAGTTGGGCACATTAGGAGCGAAAATGCTGCAGGACAGGAACTCCCCAGTGCCCCGCGAAAGAAACACAGGCTATGAATCACCAGCTGCATGTGCCGCTCTGTTCTACAGGCCAGCGTATCGTAACAGAACCGGGAAAAGCATCAAACATAGAACGCAGTTTGTAGCAGAGGGAAGGAAGACCGTGTGTTACAATTAAAGAGCTAGATCCTAGCTGGACTGACACAAATAGTGAAGGGTGGGGCTGCTGTGTCCCCTAGGCTGCACCTCAGCACAGGAGCGTCTCGCGCGCCTTGCCCCCTTTTCTCTGGGACAGCCCCCCCCCGCGCCCCATCGTCCCGCCCTGGCCCTCGGGGACTTCGCTTACTTCCCTGCCTTTCCAGTGCACAAACCTCACGCACAGACAAAAGGCAGCTCGATGGCTATTTGAATTTGAAACGGAGCCACAACAAAAGGCACTGCTCCAAAAAAAAAATACAGGGGGGGGATTTTGGATTCAAAAGCCAGCGATTCAACACGTACCCCCATAAGAAAAGTAAATTTAATTCCAAGACTATCCCGCCAGCACACTTGACGTACTGGAAAGGAGCTGCAGGAGGGCAGATCCTGGCCGTGAAGGGGGGGCCTTGCAATGCTCATACACCAGTGAGACCGCGCCACGGCTGGCTGGGCAGAGCGGGCAAGGCAGCCCCGATACGGGCTACACCCCAACCCCCCCGCGATGACGCATCACAGAGATAGCACCTGAGATTGCGAGGTAAAGTGTAGCGGTCGGGCTGATTTGACTGGCGCACAGCGCTTCGATCCAGCTGCCCTTGAATCGTCGAAAGAGTCTCCGAGGCGCACAGGCGTTATGCAACGCTGTCAGGCCCCCCGAAAGGGTTAAGGGCGCCCGCCTCTCTTGTGCTCTTTCTCTCCTCCGAAATGCAGAATGTACAGTTTCACACTGTTTGCCTGTCGACGCGGCTGTGGGTTTTACTGAAGCAACACGACCATCGTCAAAGGCAGCGGAGCGGCGCCTACCCAGGGACCCCAGACGGAAGGCTTTTGGTCCTCAGTCTAACTCATTTGCCCCTGCAATGGCCACCTCGCTAATCACATTTTAATGTTTTAGCAGATTAACATAAAACACACGGGAAAACACGAACAGCAGTAAAAAACAATGATAATGATGATGATAATGCCGATAATATAATGACGTTGATAATTGTAACAAGAGTAACAATAATTTTAAAAACAATATTTTTACAAATTCCAAAATTCCATATAAGTTTAAACTTTTTTTATATTCGTTTTACTAACCACCTTGTGAAAACATTTAAAATAAGTATATGCACTGCCAATCAAATCACTACTATTTCTCATCTATTATCCTCAACGCGTATTTAAAAAATGTCCAATCCACAGTAGGCGTTTTAGGATTACGCAGAATAACAATTATATCAGTATTCATTTAATTATTTAAAACGTGGAAGGGCTGGTGGGCAATTCAGTGAACGCCTGCCAACAATTATACGGCATCAGACAGAGCTGCTACAAGTAAATAATTCAGAAAACTGCGCACGTTACAGCCTCAAGTGAACAAAAGATTTATAGAAACAATATGCCGCTAATAGGACATAATATATGAGGACAGGGATTGACATTAGACAATAGAGAAACACAAAGCTGGCACATAAAAAACACACGTTAAGCCAGCCAGACCTTAGCAGCCTGCGTCTTAATAAACGACCCTTAATAAATGACAGCAGCACCGACCCCAGCAGCTCTGCGCCAGGCGCTAATTTCACCCTCTCGCAGGATCTACCGCGTTTCGTACCTTTTCGGCGGACGGCTTCTCTTACTCACCGTTGACTGCCTCGGAAAAGGTGCGCCCGGCTTCTCCTTGCGTCCCCTATGCTAGAATCCAGCACGCCGATTCAAAGACGGGGTTTTTTCTCGGGTCCTCGTCAATCCCAATTCCACAGCCGCCTCGACCACTCGTGCCTTTTGTAAACTACTCCTTGTCACTATCGCACCTGTCTCTTTCCCGAACAGATCCTCGTATGCCGGGGTGACATCCTTAAGACAACTGTCTCTGGGGTTGTATGTCCTTAGCCCTCTCTCCCCCCGCCGGCGCGCACAGCACCACCTGTCCCCGGTGGAAAACGCACCACAATGCGCCTCTATGCCGCTTCCCGACACATGGCATTCCCGGGTTGCGCCGCAGCGATATTCCTTCCCACAGCCGTGCAGGATTCCGAAGTGTTTAAAAAGAACTAGTGACAGTGGTTAAAGTGAAACGAGTCACAAGCGACAGCGATCCTAACAGCACCCCAGCGGAGCCGGACCAGCTGCACCGTATGGGGAAAAAAAATCGCATCTGTTTCTTTTGAATGTATTCCGTGGTAACAGTTGTAATATTGACCATTTACCCCCACAATAGTTATTTTGTGCTTTCTGTGGGTGCATACGACTGCTGCTCTTTCCAGGAGGGTGTCACTGCTGCGTCTTAACACTTCTGCTCTCATTGAAAGAAAGCGCTGTTCATTTGTTCTGCATGCGCTCCTTCACCAGTTTATCGCCCAGCTTTGGAAATCAGATAGGGGGCAACTCCCATTCATTCCAGGGGCAAATTATATTTATTTTTTCCCCTGCCATGCGTTCACTGGTTCCTTTGTCAAAGTAGGAGGATCAGAAGCTCGGTGTTTTTCGTTAGCGGTGAAATACAGCATCTCCGATGCTGCTGGCGGTGTCACCCGCCGAGACTCCGAAAACCGAGGCAATGGCAAAACCTGAGGCAGAGTTGTACAGCGACTGGAACGGAATTAATGCATACTAATTACTCTTTTAATGCACTCAAACTTGAATTTCTCCAGTAGGGTGAGAGACCCATTAATTTATTATTCGCTAATTGTTATAAAAGGTGCGCCTTTGAAACCGGAATTACGAAAAATTAACAGGGGGATCAATCATGTGTCCCGATTTTAATTATTATTTATAACCGTCGAATTACGCAATAGTAATGGCGCAAATATGATGATAAAGAGATAGGCGTGGCAATTTCTGGCATACTGTATTTATCATTTTCTGTAGAATCAATTTATTTCTCAATTATCTATGCAGAACGCTACTCGTTATTTTAAATATAACATGAGTTAAAAGGTGAGGCAACGCAGAAAAGAGCGTAGCGAAACGTAGATATTCATGTGGCATAGAAACAGGATCTTTCAAAAAAAAAAGACACGAACCTCTAAAAGGCTTTCTCAGTATGAAGGAGGAGATTTCAGTGGTATGTCCAATTAACACACCGCGACAGAGCATTAATTTGCCATACAGCTATTAATCGGTGTCAACGACCTACGTATTTGACCGAATAATTTTTCCCCCCTGCGGTATATGCAATGTGTAACAAATGCGCTGATATTCAAAGATTATTTCTTCTGTTAGGGCTATGCATAAAAAACGTGAATAAATTTCAAAGGTTAAAAGGAAAGTGAAATACTAAATATTAGGATGGGTGTGCCACAAACTGGAAGGGGGTATCTGTGTCAACAAACTTAATCTGAAACGATAGGCCTTTTGGGGGTTCGCGCCAGTCTCCTTATCATGTTTAAACAATTAACGGAGACTTTCCAGGAGGTTGCGTCCATCTTCTGTGGTAGATTTTGTGACCCAAAAGCTGTGTATAATACCATGACCCCCACCATAGCGGGCTGGAAATCCTGAGCTATCTTAAGGATCCTGGCTTAAGGACGTTGTTCAGCCAGGTGTGAGAAAACACCATCAGTGCACCTGTACAGGCCCGTTCCTCACAAAGCTGCAGGCAGGGGCCTGAATGGTGATGAACCTTCTCTTCCCATCATGGCCGGCAGGAGCCCTGGACAGAGACCCAGTCCTCTGGGAACACCAAGTAGCAGGGCGCTGGCAAGGTCACCTACTCTATCGGTGTTGTACCATATCACTTGGGGAGTGGGGGGCAGTAAAACAGGCAATTTCACCTCCGTGAAGGTATATGTTCTCACGGGGCTCAGGAACCGTTTGAAGCAGAAGCAGATGGAACATTTGGTAGCAATTAATCCTGAGCTGGAAGAGACACGTGTCTAAAGAAGACAGTGATTCAGCATGAGGAATGTTACTGTTATACTAACTTTTTATGGAGTGTAAAATCATATTTCTGTTTCAAAAATCCAGAGTGACTAAAAACACGAAACTATCATGTTTGGGAGTTGAGTACGAACGGGGAATAGTAAGTACAGGTACGTCGTGTCACGCAAGAGCCTCATTCCGAAAAAGAATTGAATGTTGCCTGGCGGCTCAGCGGGTGATTTGATCTCGTCTCATCTATCACGGCCCATATGCCCCCCCCCCGGGCTGATGTGTGTGTCCCCTGGGTGTTCTGTTACCAGAATCACTCAGGTGAAACGGCACTGCTGGTACATACCGGTAATTTTTTGCTCTGCACACAGATTGAAACCACAAAATGAATGAAGTTTAATTCTTAAAAACACCTTCAGGTTAGGGTACAGACAGCGCCAGTCAGCCCGTCAGGTGACATAGGCGGCTGCCTAGGGCGCTGACCTGAGCTTCCACTGGCACCAGCTAATAAAGCTTATTTACTGAATGATTAACTGCTATATTTAAGTCAGGAACTACTAAATACGATGCTTCAATATTTATCAAGCATATATAAATAGATATAGAAAGAATACAAAGAATTATGCTGCACTTAATGATAATTGGTAGTAACAGGATATATTCACACTATAATAAGTAAAAGCAGACTATTAACGGAACACTGCCGTCTTCATTTTAAAATATGGAATTAACTTTATAACTGATTGTGTCTTGTGGTATTACCACTAATGAGAAATATAATCTTTTTGGTAAAGTGTGCATTGCTGTAAAAATGCTGTTTAAAATTTATTTAGAATCTGAATGGCATTAGAAATATGATGAGTGTAAATAAATAAATGCATACTCGTTTTACAGATCTCTGATTGAAATTCAATAACGTTAATAGGTATAAGAAATGCAATGGCGCTGATTACTGTTCAAAGGCCCTAATAAGCAGTATTAGCTGTTATTGCACATAATAACTGTGTTACTGATACAACTGGAGCTTTACTGTGCGAAAGCAGCCGTTACTCCACTGTAATGGCTGTTACTCTGCACTAGCTGCGTTGCGTTATCATCCTTTCTGTCACACTCTTTTAACTGCAAACGCCACCTACTTTAAAATGAGCGGTGAACTTTAAAGAGAGCCCTGTTTTTCCATTTCTACGACTTCATCTTAGTTCAAACGCCGGATGAGAAGATTTGGATAAGAAACTGACTATAAATAAATAAACAAAACCACAATTCTATTCCGCTCTTTTTTCATCCCACTCGGTGTCTCCGAGCTGCTGGATCACTGCAGACTTGGACGGGATATTAAAGAGCTTCACATAAAATTGCAGCTTTGATGCAGGACTCCGCAGCTTTCAGTGTTTTGGATAAAAGTGCAGGAGAGGGTGGGGCACTGCAGTGGGGCCCTTAGGAGCAGAACAGCGACAGCGAGGCCACTGCGCCAGTGGGCTTTGATTATTACATTAAAGTGTTGTGCTCATCAGCATCATGGAGCCACGGCGGTGGGTAACAGTGCTGTGGGCACCTGGGGTGAAGGCGCCAGGGCATCAGAGGCACACGATTCTCAGGAAAATAGGCTGGGACGAGCCCTGGAGGAAGGAAACACGGAAATATCCGTGTGATTGGATCCAATTGAATTACGTACCGTCACCATCCACACAGTAAGTCTCCATTTCGCTGCAATTAGATGCACTCTTCGATAAGCGGTATCAAACCTGCTGGGAGTTAGTAGGTTCACCGCACTCCAAGGTGCCTTAGAAACAGGGCATCGCAGCTCACATCCCCAGTTTGACTTCTACAATTTACATTTCCTCTCCTGAATTTAATACTCAAAGGGAACATGGACCAGCAGCAGCGCGAACCGAAATGTCAGAGCAGCTTCTTGGGCTGTCAGAAATGCGCCTGAGCACCTCGCCCCAGCTTTTTTTATTATTATTTTTTTTCGTGCGTTGCAGAAATGTGCCTGCCGTAGACATCCACCCTCCCCGTCAATGTGTTCTTCTTCCACCTGACATTATATCCCCCCAAAGTAAATAACAGAATGAAAAAAATAAGATTATGAAATGAGGGAAACAGTGCAGGAAAAAAAAAGCAAAAGAATTAAAGTACAGATATAGATACATAAGACATACTAGACTGCACACTGCTTAAGCCCACATAAACCTTCCTTGATCATGTGGCATTAGGACAAGGAATCTTTCAAATTAAATTAGCACGTACCCCGCTGTCTTTCAGAGTAAAAGCAATGCTGACACTGCATTGGCCATGATGTCAAAAATGCTAATGTGTTTACTCATTAGTTTTACTGGGTCGACAACCTGTTTTGCCTGTGCTGGAGATGACTGCGCTGTTACTTTGAAAAGAGTTGTCATGGCAGGCATTAATCAGACTGGCAAAGAACGCAGGGGGAGTGAGATAATGCGGTGGCAGCTTGGGAACAGGGTGCACATTACATCACCTCTTCCTTTGGCGAAAAAAGACACAGTAGGATCTGTCTAACACATAGGTATCTCACAATAAAAATAGCTGACTTCCATCACTGCCACGATAAACATCATCTCATTACCGTGATGCAGCAAATCTTTCACGAGCAGCCTGTATCGTGCCATGTAGAATCTATAGCATTGCTACAGCACAATGGCAGCACTGCGTATTCAAAAGGACAGTGACGGCACTGAAGAGCACTGAAGGATGCCAGTTACGCCACACGGAAGCTACCAAGTGATACACTTTAGCGATTAATCGCTCAATTAATTAATCAAGAAAATGTAGCGATAGTTTGATGGCCAGCACATATTTGATAGATCAAAAGGTGATTAACTTTTGTTTTACTTTCTAGATAACAAAATCAATTTAGGTGGTTTTTGGATATTTTCCATGGTCGTGTACTGAACAGCAGTTAAGTGCTAGGAAATCGCACAGTCTCACGCCACAATTTGGAGTCACAAATTCATTTGCACCAACATCAGTGTGTGACGAAAGGTGCGTGATCCAGTTCCAGTCTCCATATGCACTGTGCCCTTGCTAGTACCATAGACAGTTATCTACCAGTTAAAATGACACTACAATCAGCAGTGTAGCTATTTTGATATGCGCAGACTTTAAGCAGCCACTGGAACGCACAAAGCACCCTTCACACTGGACCAGTCCAGGTGGCTCAGGCCGTCCTGGGAGTCGGTGTAATTCTAGCCCTTTCTGTTCAGTCCCTCCCTGAAGCCCGAGGAATCAAGAATTTCATTCTGCTCCAGGGGAGGTGAGCTTCTCAAAGACCGTTCATTCCGATGCAAGGAAGCAGGCAGATCAGGGGAAAAAAGATTGCAGAAGCAATTCTTCAGCTGCAGGTGGGTGACCTGGTGATAATCTATTCATCCTGACTTACATATCCTCAGGCCAGCAGCATGTAACTTTGTATCATGGGACCCTGAAGACTTTCATGCCATATTGTAATCATAGACGAACATATATTCTAGACAACCGGAGAATGAAAGTGTAAAGATGGGTTTGCGTTTAACAGAAACCAGATGGCACCCTGTCCCCCCCAGGGCCCGAGGTTCCCACATCAGCAGATGGATGTTAGAGCAGGTGGATCCTGAGAAAACATGAAAGGAAGAATTACCTCAAAGAGTATACAGCCCCATACCTGACCTACAAGTGCAAGAGGGCAGGACTGTGTAACAGTAAAAGAACGTCCTAAATTACACATTCGAATATCCAACGGAACACTTAGGTCAGCGGTGGCCAATCTTAACTGCAAAGAGCCGGTGTGTTTGCGGGTTTTCCCTGCAGCTCCCTAATTATATTACTAATTAGAGGACTGATTGGCTGAAGAATCCTCGCACCTGGGTTTGAACAGCTGACCTAAAGGTTATCCCAAAAACCTGCACACACACCGGCCCTTTGCGGATAAGATTGGCCACCGCTGACTTAGGTTAAATGTTGAGGATTGAGATCCGCTTCATTTTGTTTCGTTTTATGCAAGCTATCATTCATGAACTGGAGCGTGAATTAATTTTCCGAAGGAATTTAATACCAGAATTAAGTATCCCCAGTTTTTTCAATATTTTATGACAATCTGTTCCCCTCTAGGAATTTTCCCCTAATGACCGTAACAAAGCCGTATACAAAAAAAAATAATCTATTAAGTCAAGCTAGATTTTAATAAAAATCTCCTCTGAAGTCAGACATTATAATAAAAATCCTCTCCTGAAGTGTTTAGATAGCAGTCAACCTGTGACTCAAGAACCTTCCTGCTCTCTTTTTTAAAATTTCATAAATATCTATGCAGAACTTAGACATGAGAATAATAGATACAGACCTTCATTTAGATGTATGTTACCAGGACAGTTTACGTTAAGTGAAACATTAGGGTTCAACAGCAGAGACATTTGTGGCATTTACCCATATTGCAGTTCAATGGCTTTAAACACAGTTATACATGATTTCCACTTATTCTTAGAAGTTCATCTTTTATAGATGTTTTTTTATTTAATAGTAGAGGGGAAAAATAAAACAATAATCATAATATAACCGGGACGCATGGGTTTGTAACTCATGACTACCGTGATTATGTACATATACCAGATGAGGGCGCCTTTGAGCAGTTACTGTTATTTGCCCCCACGAAAGCTCGAATGCAGAGCAGGACTGCCCCGCTGCGGTGGAACCGGGAAATACATCAGCCATTTAGCCATTGACATCCACATTAACTTGTGGTTATGTGGAGATGGACACCACTGTTCTTTTCAGAGAATCGATTCTTTCGAGTTCCATCAACTGAAAACAACAAATCGTTCAGAATTGTCCAGTCATTCGTTCACTTCCGACACAAACCCCTACGACTTGTTTTCCCTCCCGAAGAGGGCCCTTGGATATTTTTCCCCGGAGGTGGGGGCGGGGGGGGTCCCTTTCATGTTTAATAATGTACTATTAAAGCTACTTTAAATGTATTTATTAAATTTTGTAACTTAAATGAACATAATATCCTTCAAACTTTGTTACACATATCTAATCATATAGGCCTATATATAACGGTAACGTTGACATTGACGATAACAACTTTACATATTTTCTGCGAAACTGGTCGGGATACGATAATGGATGGATGGATGGATTTCGTTCATTTTTAATATTTATTCAAAAAGAGTGAGGCTGAGATTTCGAGTTTAGATTCTCAGACAACGTGCCACAATAACAATGTTTGCTCTTCATTGTAGCTGTATTTATAAGTTGGCCTACAGCTAATGTTTATGTATTTTCTCAATACAATTTTATTTGTATACCGCATCTTCATATTACATTGTCTCAAAACACTTTACAATATCCCTGCCCAGTGCCCACAGAGACCAAGCCAGCGGCGACAGTGGCAAGGAAAAAATCCCTGCAGTAGATTTCAAACGAACCTTCCAGTGATAAATTTCACCATATTTTTCCTGGTACAAGAGTAGCGTAGCTGCATAATTGTATCTTAATACTACATATACATTTAAGTTAGATTTATGTGTCTTACCATGGAACATATTTGTCAACATATTTGCTGAATACAACCTGCAGTTACACTTATTAAGCGCTGCTCATGCCGAGCGTTTTGCCCACTCCGATGTAAATCTCCTGAAGTCGGATAACGCCTATCTGTAAACTTTTAGTTCCCTCTCAGTTAGTTGTTGACGTACACTCCGCAAAGTGATTAAGAATCGTTACGATGAGTCAGACTTTTTATTATTCGTCCAGCCATCCTTGCATCTGGGCTCTTATTCACCACCTGCCTCTTTAATAACTGGCGCAATCGCGTACTCCCAGAGTAAGGTCTACAACTTGTAACTTCCGTAACTTTCCGTTTCTCCGAAGGACTCGGCGCGGTGGTAGCGGGGACCCGGTAAGCATGCATATCGGCTTTCCAGAGCAAGAAAGTGAAACTTGGGCTCCTTTTGGTGATAAATGCGTACAATTTGATGTGTGCGACTTTCCGGCCACGCTGTAGCATTACTGTTAAACAAACCCTAATAGTGCCTCATTACGGAGCCCTTTTAAAACTTTCTTTCCGTTTCTGAATAACTTATCAAGGCCTGTAGCACTGATGATCTGTAACGTTACACAGTAGCGCCGAGATTATTATTCTTATTGACAAACACGAGGCTGTTAAGAATAACAATGTCAAAAGGACAGCTGCGAGTGTTATGCAGCCTATGAAGTTGATCACTCCTATGTGTCATTGTTACCCTAGTTAGTTTCCGGGCACAGCGGCTGTTGTAACATTGTTTCTGTGGCATTTCTCACGCTTCACAGTCGTACTTTGACATCTGCACTTTAATTTGTATGAATAGCCGTAATATGAAAGAGCAGGTGTCCGTGGATGTACTATGGACTCGAAACGCTGCGGCCGTAAAGATAATAACTTGTGTCTCCTTTTAACAAAACATAGGTGGGTATCCCCCCGGCCATTTAAATTTGATTTTTAGTCCCTGGTTTGTTAACTTATTTGGTATATTGGTAATCGTTAAAAGGTTTTGATCTCTCCGTGACCTTTACCCTGGAAAGAAGTTCATGGCTGAGACATACCCCGAAACTACAATGTGAAACAAGGGCGTAGATTTGGGTATGAATAGTGGGACATGTCTTTACCCATCTGGGAGTACCATGTGGGTTTAGGGACGCAGCGGGTTTGGGGCTGATTTGTTCCTTATAAGTGTCGAACCCATCGCTATGCATTTGATGTGAATAGTTTTATGTTAGTTTAATTTTAGTTGTGAGGCGTGGCATATGGTGAAAGAGGTGACAAAGTTCTTTTTTGGCGTTAAGCAATATTAATTGTGCCTGCTGTGCTACTCGGTTTGAGAAAACATTTCTGCAAAAATAAGCAAACTGTGAATAAATTGTATTTGCGGTTTAGGGAGAGGGCTGGTATACCGTTGTGTTAAGAGCAGAATTATAAATCTCCCTTGTGACTAATGCATTGTAAATCTGTTGAACCTTTTCTTTGTTTAAAAGTTGCTAAGCTAGTAACACTATCCAAAAATCGATCCAGCCAAAGCTCTTAACCAAATGGCTTACTTTAACAATTCTGTGCTTATGTACTTTAGTTGTTTGTAGGCATTTTGTACTTTTGAACCCTTGATCTTCAGGTTACAGATGCTCTTAACCACTCTGTTATCTGCATTCCAATAACAGGTAACTTAAGGTTACTTGTTAGGTAACTTAATCTGAGCATTTTTAATGGGTCAGCATGTGATTTATCTTTACTGGTCAGATTATTGACTTTGCTATTGTCGCATCTCAAAAGCAAGCAAATCTTCCTAAATCCTTAATGCAGTAATTTTTTAGTAACAGTATTGAATCAAAATAAAATAATTTTATATGGATTCATAATAAAAGATAATGAAGGTGCTTGTTTGTTAATTTGCTTCTTTTTTTGGGAAGGAAGGGGGGGTCTGCCAATCTTGGACTTGGTTTGTCCCCGCCCATACACAGTTAAACCCCTGGCCGTAACACAACCGCTACATTGTTATTTTGCCAGAAAGCTGTCCTCATGCAGTGAAATGTTCCGCATTGGGTTTGCCATGTCTCCGGTGCCATGGAAGGCCACGAGATCACCTCCGACTCATGCCTGCCAAATCAGTGTTCATGCCAACAAGCTTAGATCTTGAAATGTTCACCCGGCAGCAATCAAGGGCCTCGTAGGTTAGTGTCAATGCACAACACATGAAGAAATGCTTTTTTCTTGGGGAATTGAAGGCCAATGTAGAAGGATGGTTCCGTAGGATCAGCTTTATTAATAGTTGTGTATTTTAGCATGACATCAGATTAGCAAGTATTCCTCATTACTGTTGTATTATAAAGTATGACTCAGTGAAAATGTGTTAGTTGTGATGGTCCATGCTGTAATTCAGGATCTTGTTCCTGTTCGTCTCTCTTCTGCCTAGTGTGCCCCCTTCAGGACTGGAGGACCACAGGGTGATTACTATTAAACAAATGTAATTTTAATAGTGTGGTTTAGACCCCATATTTGTGCTGGTTTATTGCCAGTACATCTGATGATTAATCTGTTTCCTGCCTCCTTTATTCGACACAGTCACTGGAAATGGGTGGATGAATTAAGTCACTGGCACTTGTAAAAAATGAGTGGACCCCCTTTAGGTGCTGCATTTTGAGGGAAAATAAGTATAAGTCATACTGTTAATTATTTACTGATTATTTATAGAGACGTGACCTTTCAGAAGCTGAGTTTAACGCCTCTGCTCGAGCGAAAAGTCATGGTGTTTTGCGCAATAGACTCCTGAGTAATGGCGACGGGCTGCATAAAACTGTTTTTACTCAGCAGAGAGTTTGTCTGACAAGGCTGTCTGCCTGTCCCCTGTCACGCTGCCCTCCCCAGGCATGGCTGACTTTGCGAGCAGCGGCGATGAGGTCATCGCCACCACAGGGAAGCCGAGTGCCGTGGAGCAGCAGGTAAGCCGTGCCAACTCAGCCGTGCCACTCGCCCGCAGAACATCCCGCGTGTTTCTGGTTCGGCTCCAGACCCTGGCTCTAGTCATCCCACACACAACTCTTATACGGTCATTCCAGTGATATAAGAAGTTTTGGGTGACCTTGGAGCCTCAGAAATTCATTTTCTTACCTGTATTCTCCTCTCCTTTATTGTCTAGCTTCTTGTGACTCAGGTTATGACTCAGGTCAGGTGCATTACTCAGAGTTATAGTAAGAAAGCAGTCTTAGAGTTGCCTGCCCAGCCCTCTGAGCAGGGGCGTGTCTTTTGGTGGGTAAGGGGCGTGGCTTCTTGTGGGTAGGGGGCGTGGCTGTTGGTGGGCAGGGTGTGAGCAGTGCCCTCTCAAACGGATTGCCTGTCACCCAACAAAGGCAGACCAAATTTAGATAGTCATTAGTAATTTAAAAGAATCTCCCTGGGACCCCTCCCTCTCGCATATGAGAGAAAATATGATTCAGTGCTACCACTCCCCCCTTGGAAAACCTTTACCATTGCCATCCACCAGGGGGTGCCCTCATATACATAACACAATTCGAGCTCTTGTGTCCAGCCAGCATACCCCTGTGCCCTCGCTGGGTTTGTATCCTGGTATCGCCACCGCCTCCGAGTCTCTGAAACCTGTGACGAGTCCAGGTTCCCTTTGCCTCTGTGCCCCTGCAGAGCGTGGTGTCCCGTGCGGGCAGCCTGCCCCTGGTAAGCTCCGCCTGTGAGGCAGTGCTGGGTGCCTACAGCACCACCAAGGACAGCGTTCCCCTGCTGCGCGGGGTCGTGAACGTGGCGGAGAGTGGGGTCCGTACCCTTGGTGCGGCTGTCGCCACCGGCTCCAAACCCCTCCTGGACATGCTGGAGCCTGAGAGTAAGTGCTGGGCATAGCTGGGGAAGGGGGCGGGGCATAGCTGGGGAAGGGGGCGGGGCATAGCTGGGGAAGGGGGCGGGGCATAGCTGGGGAAGGGGGCGGGGCAACGAGATGTGACTGCAAAAGAGGAACAAGGCCCTGCACTGTGCCATCTGCATTCTACAGGTCATTTTCTTACATCAGTATAGGAATAACATGGATGTATTACTTGCATCACTTTGAAAAAAAATATCTGCAAAACAAATATTATTATATTAAATCCAGTTTATTTCCCTGCGATGGGTTCGCACCACATCAGGGTTTGTTCCCTCCCTTGCTTCCCTATCCTCCAGGACAGGCTCCACACCCCACAACCCTGAATAGGACAAGCGAGTACAGAAAATAGATGGATAGATACACTTTATTTTTATTTAATGCCTTTCACAAAACAGTTGCCCTAAGGCCCTGGATAGAAGTGTGTGGCAATCGATTATTCCAGTCCATTAAACATAGATGTCACACATTCAACTGGTTTCTAAAATGCTTTATTTAGCACAGATTGGCAGCGCTTTCTCTGGCTGAAGAATGCCTGGTTATGCTCTGTTTTGGTGGTTTTGTAAAAGATTAAATGTGCGTGACCTGCGAATGCCCAGCTCCATTCCCCTCTCTCTCTGTCTCACCTGGCCTGGTCCAGTCGCCGTGGTAAACAGTTACGCCATGAAGGGGCTAGACAAGGTGGAGCAAAGCTTTCCCATCCTGCAGCAGCCCGCCGACAAGGTAACGACCCGGCGACTCCTGTAGACTGTCCCGACCAAGGGCAGGGCTGACACTATCTGTATGGCATGTGTTTGTCTGATGGGTGACATCATCGACAACAACAGGGAATCCCGCAGGTGTTTCCTGTGACTGTATATAGCAGGCGATTGTGGAGATGTGTTTTCTTTTGTACATCCATCTGTTTGTCCAGTTCATCCAAAGGGTGCGAGGCAGGGGAGCGCATGCACACACGCACACACACACACGCACACACACACGCACGCACACACGCACACGCCACCTCACCATCCTTTGTCTGCTACATTATTTTTAATTTTTTAAACATTGATATTGACTTTTTATGCTGTTTGTCTCCTGCTATGTGTCCTATGATCCTTGAAATGGGCTCCATGCTCACTTCAGTTCAGTCCCAGCTAAGTGGTTATGAAGAAGGATGGTTGCATGTCCACACATTACTGACATTTGCGAGTTTAGTTGTCGCTAATTGAATGCACAGAGCCCTTTGTGCAGAGTTAAGTATAAAAGAGTGACGTGGATCTTTCTGGGTTCATGTTTGGGTTATTGTGACTAACTCTGACCTACTGGGACTGATTGGGTTTCCGCAGCTGGTGTCGGACACGGTGGGGATGGTGTGCCAGTCCGTGTCTGGGGCAAAGGAGGCGATGACAGGGGCGGTGAAGGCCGCGGTGACGGGCGGCATGGATCTGACCCGAGCCGCCGTCAGTGGGGGCATCAGCACGGTGCTGGGGTCCCGCGTGGGCCAGATGGTGAGCAGCGGGGTGGGACTGGCCATCAGCCGCTCAGAGGACTGGGTGGAACAGAACCTGCCCATAAGCGAGAAGGAGTTGGGTGAGTGAACTGGGCGTCGCTGGGTCTGGAGGTGGGAGGGGCCAAGGCAGGGTCATGTGATGCGACACTGCCGGGTGATTGGCAGCTTACTGATATTAACAAAATACTTACTATTTCATTTAAAACATATTTCACAATTTAAGATTGATTAAGCAATGGCACATGTGGTTTTATTGCTTTTATTGCAGCCAGTCCTTATTTTTTTTTTATCACCTGAAACAAAACTAGTCTAAGAATGATGATAATCATCATCATTCACTACCACACTTTTTGTTGACCTGGTTAAATAACACATCATTCATTTTTTATTTAGGCCAACATATTGAGAATTCAAGTTACTAATATACACGTACGTACTGCTTCATGGACTGGCTAATTATGGATCTCAGAAGATATGATCATAGAAGTGTTGTGGAGGTATGGCAGAGCTGTGAATGATCGCTGAGATCATTTCAGTTCAATTCAGTTTGATTTTATGTAGCACCTTACACGACAGAGTCACCACAAGGCACTTTACACGGGTGTCTCGTGATACATTCCTGCATCATTTCCTGCTTTATAAACTCAGTGGCCACTTTATTAGGTAGCGAACAGCCTGCCCTTACAAACAGCAAATCCTGCATTAGCAACTCAGTATGTGCAGCACACAGACAGGGTCTAGACCAGCGTTTCCCAATCCGGTCCTCCGGGACCCCTAGCCGGTCCAGGTTTTTGCTCCCTCCCAGCTCCCAATAGGAGCAAAAATGTAAGTTGTCTGGCGGTCTCCAAGGACCGGGTTGGAAAAATTAGCCGATCAGTTAATGTTCATCTAAGCATTAGAATGAGGCATGATGGAAGATGCATAACCTAAGCCGCTTCCAATGAGGTGTGATTGCTGGAGCCAGATGTGGTGATTATAGCATCTCCAACAGCCACTGTACTGGGATTTTCACTCCTGCAGTGGCTCGAATTTACAGAGGATGGTGTGATGAGCAACACGTATCCAATTAGCAGTTCTGTGGGTGAAAACGGCTTTGGGTGATGCTTTACATTAACTGCACCTTCATAATGCCTTCATAATGCATTCGTAGAACATTCATAAGCAGTATGTAAGTATACCTTAACATGCTTAACATACATTAGCAGCTTTAAAATGCATTAATTACAAACATATGATTATAATGTTTGTCATGAATGTAAATTAAAGCTGTTAAGGTACGTTAGGACGTTAAAGTATACTTACATGCTCCTTATGAATTTTCTACGAATGCATTATGAAGGCATTATGAAGGTGCAGTTAATTTAAAGCATTAGCCGGCATTGCTAATGATCAGAGGAGAATGGCCAGGAAGACCATGAGTGTCTAGGTAGCAGTTCAGTGTAACAGTGGGGGGGGCAGAAATGGTTCTCTGCACTCACAGCTTGTCTATGTTTAAAGCAAAAGACCAAACTGAGTCCTACCCAGTTTCAGCTCTGTGTGCCCAGTCGAGTGCAGCTTCCTCAACTGCAGCTGGTGCCAGCTGGCAGTGCCCTCACATCCAGGGAGGTTCCGGCAGTGCGGGGCTTTCTGGGTGTGTCTGTGTCCTCTGAAGTTTTTCAAGGGGATTGTTGAAGTAGGGGGGGCCTGATTCCTGTCTTACGCACACAGCTGCTCTGGCGGAGCCCCCCCCAGCAGAGGAGGCTCAGGCCTTGGAGAGCTTCTCCTCCTCCACCTCCTCCAGCCCCAGCTACTTTGTACGCTTGGGCATGCTGTCATCCAAGGTGCAAGACCGGGCGCTGGAGCAGTCGGTGGGCAAGGCCCGGCGAGCCCGCGACGCCACGCACACCGCCCTCAGCCAGATAGCCAGCACCCTGGACCTGCTGGAAGGCTCGCGGTCCGCCCTGGCCTCTGCCGGCAGCCAGCTGGTGGGGGCACGGGAGCAGCTGCTGCAGCGCTGGGCAGAGTGGCAGGAGGGGCAGGGGGTGACGGAGAGCGCCAAGGAGCAGGGGGAGGTAGGAAAGCTCGCAGGAGCCGCCCTCTAATCGGCTTAGCGTCACCCACATCAGCATAATCATTCTGTAAATATGGCCAGAAGGGTTTAGGTGTGCCTGAAATGGAAGCAGGGCAAGTAGAGCATTGCTCAAAAAACCCCAAGGTTGTAGGTTCGAATCCCTGGGTGCACATACAAATTGTAACCCTCCCTTGGACTGTAAGTACTAAGCTGTGGATAAAAGCAACAAATAGATAAATGAAATAGATTAATAGCCTGATGCTAAGTCCCCCGCCCCACCACACACACAAGGGTTATAGGTTCAAATCCCAGGGAGCACATGTAAATTGTAACCCTCCCTCCTACGGCAAGTACTAAGCTTTGGATAAAAGCATCATGTAGATAAATGAAACAGATGAACAGCCTGATGCTAAGCCCCCCCCCTCCCCCGCGTACCCCACGGTTTTGGAGTGATATGGGACTCGAGTGCATCACCGAGTGCGTCACTGAGCATGTCCCTCGTGTGCATGCCCCGCAGCTGGAGTCACGCGCCCTCTCCATGGTGCGCGGTCTGAGTGTGCAGGTGCGCACGGCATGTGCTGGTGTGGTGTCCAGTGCGCAGGGCCTCCCCAGCGCCGTGCAGGAGCAGCTGTCCAGCGCGAGGCGAGCGGCCGACGAGCTGCACTCCTCCCTCCGTGACACCAGCGTCCTCTCCCCCCCCCTCCTGGAGCAGAGCCGCCAGCAGCTGACGCAGGTATTAATGGGCTGAGTCATTCCCGCTATCTGCTCAAATGTAACTAGGCAACATTTTTTATTATTATTGTGTTTTTTTATGTTAATGCAGCCTAAGGGATGTGTCCTTTCTCGGGTAGTTTTCCAGCAAACTCTAAAAACCGGAGAGTGATTTTGTTCTGGAAACTGATGTGTTTTTCCTCCGGGCCCTGAAGTGAATTCTTACTGCTATTTTGTTTAAAAACGGCCATTATGTTACATTACTGAACATTGGCCAGACCATCCCCATCTACCATCATGAGCTGTTTGTGCCGTTAGGATGCAGTTAGTTAAATGCGTGTATAACAGTCTGCTCTGCTTCCTAGAGAAGTACAGTGTCACAGATGTATGTAGAGCTTAGTTTCTCTACTCCTCTGCATTGTCCTGTGGCTAAAATGCATGCATCTTCAAACCAATATTAATAATGGTGGCAAATAAAGGAGCTTCCATTATTGTTAGATAATACTGGGTGGCACCCTGGAGTTTTGGGGCTTCATTGCTCTTATTCAGGTCCTAGTCAGTCATCACCTTGATACTAGGTGTGACGCCTTCATTTTTGTAAAACGTGATTCAGGGATGCCATACGTTGAATCATTGTTACATCTATGGCAGCAATATCCAGCTGAATGAACAAGTAAAGGCATTGACCTGTAAGTGGGTTCGGGTGCCAGATCAATCAGGTTGTTGTGTCGTGTTAATCTGTGCTGCATTTTCTTTTTTTTTTTTACAGATTCGGCAGTCTCTAGATGGCGTTGTGGAGTATTTTCTTCACAATACGCCTCTCAATTGGTTAGTCGGGCCCTTTGCTCCTCTCATCACGGAGAAGGCTGAGGAGGTGCAGCAGGGGGAGGACTGAAACACCCACCCATTCCGGACTTCTGTGTTTCCACTTTTGGAGGGGGGGAAATGTGGACGAGTCTCCCCTTGGCAGATAAATGCAGTGGGGGTCACTTTCAATATCGAGGGCGTCAGCTGGTTTTGTAGGCCAAGATAGCCAATGGTGAAATAATTTATGCTGAGGCAAACGGTAAAAAATATGCACAGGAGGATATTCAGGAGGATATTCGGCAAAGCTCTGGATCATTTTTAAGCCAGGTTTCACACTGCGGTGGCTGGGGATAGCTTTTCTGCAGACGTATACGGCTGTTTGTCTTTCTATGTGGTATATTTCCGCAAAGATTTATGAACAAACCCTACAATAAAAAGGCACTTAAAACTATTCACCTGGAATTTAAACATGTTTGTTCGGCCCTTAAGACCTTTAATTATATAATATGTATTACATATGTCGTGCTTCTCAGCTGGTTTGGTCTCAGGACTCGCATTATTCCTTGGTCAGTAAATCACTACTTCACGGTAAAAGCTGTCGAATGTCGCGACCCACTGAAATACCCCGACATACAGGATACTTATATATTTTAAAGGGAATCATATAATAAAAAAAGTTGATTAAGAAGTACTCCCCCCGCCCCCCGTGCGGGGGGGGGGGGGGGGGGGGGGGGCTTACACAGTGACAAAGACGGCATTGTGTGAATCGTGTGTTTGTCCACGACAAATGTAGCTTCGCAAAATGCACTCGCTCGATTTGCAGGCTGCGTCTTACTGAACGCAACTCGGTCCTCTGAACGTGCAAAGAGGAAAATAAGCAAAGGCAGGGAAAGCCATTTTCTCAGTAGCAGATTTCACACAACATTCATTATGTGATTCTCTTTGGCTTCATACAAAGACTCATATACAAGAGAGAATTTTATTTAAAAAAAAAGGGGGGGGGTGTGAGGGTCCTTACTGGCAGGAATGAGTTTTTTCATCCATTTCTCATTTTCAATCAGGTACTATTCTTTGGTTCAGTTATGCTTTTATTATATTTACAGATACCTTTTTGATGGAGAGTATAGCTTAGTGTTTATCTTACTGTGTGTGCTGCCTAACCTGGCAATGTAGCTAATATCAATGCTGCAGGGCTGGTGCTCTTGTGTCAGTCTGTATTACACTGATATCACAAAGCCAAAATCTCATCTGTCCTTTGTTGACTACAAACCTACAATCAATCCAATTGATTTTTTTTTAATCATATACATTTAAAGTAGCCTGTCTCTTTATTATTAACAGTATTTGTCTTTAGATAATGAAAATTTTAATCTCAGGGCCTTTTTTAATTTTTATTTTAGATATTTTTGCTTGTCAATTTTGTATGGTATAGTTATGAGATTATGGCTGTCTAATACCAGTGATGATGTTAATGATTTGTAGATCAATTTGTGTGGGACCATTTTGCATGTAAAATGTCATAACCAAGCCCTGTATCATCCTTGAATGTCTTGTCTGCTTCCTAAATTCTGGGTTCTTCCTCTGAAAGGATCATCGATGCAAAACGTGGCACTAAAACTGCAATAAATTATGTGTTATAAGCTACAAAACCACTACTTGCATTTCCCAGAGCCTTACTTAATTTTTAACTTATCTAGTCAGCAGATAGGGCCTATATGGTGTTTCCTAATTCGTGTAGGCTGTAAAATTCTTGGTTATAATTCCACTGGAATTGAAATTTCAGCATTTCACTCTACCGTATGCGACATGTATCATATCCGATTTGGTTGCAACCATTCCTTAGAATAAAACATCACACAAAATTCAAAGCATTGCTATTATTGCAGCTGTACCAAATATTTCTTAATTTACATTAAATATTCATTGGTAAGCATGGGTCCATAGTACTTCTAACAATAGCTAGAGAGGGGCAACCGCTTAATGTTCTACAGATATTCATTCAAAGTGGAAGAAGAACTGAATATGATAATGGACATTTATTGATAGGATGTTTAAAAGTGATTGTTGTAAGCAGGTCGAACGATGGTCCTGTGAGGTCCCTGGGCACCTGCCTTTTGGAGGACCCCCGCCCCCCCAGTCACAGGAGAGGAGGGGGAGTTGAGAGCATAAACCATGTACAGGGTTTGGATTCTGCTCCTCTACCAAGGCCTTATGTATTAGCTAGCCTGCTATGTTGTGGCTTGTCAGGTATAGCACCAGCTAAATTTATCTGACAAGTTGCTGAGCTAGCGTTATTAGGCCATTTTTTCTGAAATGGAGAGGTAATTTTACTAAAAGCATGTTTTGGATTGACAACGAAACTACGGCAACACAGCATGAAGTATCTTTTGTTTAGCACTAATACCCAGAGATGGATAGTTCAGGACCAAAAAGTAAAAATCCAGACCAAGATTTTGCTTAGTACTCTGTGACAGTGACTCTTTATGCTCAACTGGTTGGTTAAAACAAAATCTTGGTCTGGATTTTACTTTCGGAACCTGGACAATCCACCTTTGCTGATACCCATCTAGCTGGAATGATGCCCACATCCACATAGCTAGCTAGCTAACAGCACATTGACATAATGTAACTTTTAACCAATACACAATGTATGTAAAGGGCCAAATGTTACAGCTGTGATATAAGCATCGGCCAACAAGGCCACTGCAATTCCAAATTCACACACTGGTGAAAGTATACTGTAAAATGCCATCCAGTATGTCGACCAAGCCAGTGACCCTTTTGTTAATCTTAATTGCACAGTTCTGCATGCAGAGGAGCCAGGGACCTTGATGCTGAGCTCATAACTTAATTTCTGAAGGGTCCTTGTTCTAAGCTTGCACTGTATGCACCAAGGGGCATAGCATGTACCAGGAACCCGGGTGGTCAGCTCACAGCATTTATGCTGGGGAGAGGTACCTCATCTGCCTGAAATGGGGTCAGAAACAAATCCATAACTTAATTCCAAAATATATTGTGTTTACCAAAACAACACATGACAGTGAAACTGTCAAATGACTGCTGTCCTAGTTCCTGCCCACACGTTGCCATTTTCTTCAACTTGCGGTGCACTGCTTCATCCCTGTATAGCAGCCAACTACACGATTGTATTGCAGGTACTTTTCCAAAAGAAGCACAAACTTGCCTCCCTCGTTAGGTAACATATAGTATATTATAAGAACGAACAATTTATAAAGAAACAACGCCCCATACATATTAAAATAACGTCTCTCACCCGTAAAATAGACGCTTAATAGTTAAAATATGTCACGCTAAAAAAAATCATCTAAGAATATAGCGATGGATATAATTTTTAGTGGTTTGATGAACGCAAGGAGGCAGGTTACAGAACGGACCGGGCCCCTGATCTAGAGACATCCTGGCTAATTGGGGATCCCGAGATCCGGGACTGGACACCTCCGCTACCGCCAGCCCCGGTTGATTCGGTCCAGACTGAGCGGACTGATATAAAAAAAAAAAGGGCCGTCAGTCTGGTGCTTGTCGTCACTTCCGCTCGTTACATCATCGCCAAGGTCCCCGGCTATCGGCCGTAGCCGACGAGCTAAGCAGCCGCGAAGGACGGCAGCGCCGCCACAGCCGCTTTTAAAAATCAGCAGCGCCCGAAATCAACCGTTTTCCCCGCGTGAGAAGCCGCTTGTGTCGCCGGTACCTACGTTTGTTTCCTGAGAGGAGGACGGCTCTCAAATACCAAAGCGAATTGCGGACAAAACCTGGTATGTATGAGCTAGCCTAGCGCGCTAGGTGTAACGGTTTCACTCTTTTACAGTTGTTAATATTTTAGCTGCTTGGCATAGCCCGTTTAAATGATTGCGTAGTATATTACCTTTTTTCCTGTCCATTTTAAACCCACACTCGTGTTAAGGGGATTTGAAGTTTAAGGTTTCAACTTGTTAGCTCGCTACGGAGCCGCACGAATTCCGATGTACCCGACGGTGCGGGGCGGCCGGCCGCCCGGGTAATTACACGTAGGCTTTGTTCGTGCCTCACGCCAGTATTGTGACTAAATTAGCACTGGCTAGCTATTAAGTGGAATCAGTATGTTTTATGTCGTGTTGACGTCGACGTGATTGTCTTTTATCAGCCCCCCCTCCCTCCCTGTAATGTCCCCCACTGTTTCTGCACTGAAATTGTAAACGGGGCAGTCGGAACTGGCTCCAATTAACAGCCCAGCGAGGGCTAACAAAGCCTTTCCCGTATCTGGGTACGACAGCCTTTCGATACATTTTGTCTTTGGGAACAACGGTCGTGCCTTTTATGGGTGACTCCGGTAACTGGGTAGGTGGCGATGGCTAGATGTGGAGTGGCTCAGCTGGTTTGTTCAGAGGAAATGTGTGTCTAGCGGCGCAGGCCCCGAACAGCCCCGGACTACAGTAATGGCCTGATGTTAGTCGTTTTTTCCGTAACTGCACGAAGACCACCCCCACCTACCCAGTCAATAGGGTAGATTAAGGTGTAACCGTGTTTACAATGCACGATGTGTTGGTTACGTGCCAGCGCAAGAATGTAACACTATAGGGGATTTGACTTTAAGTAGGATTTTTTTCCCCCTCTTATCGTTCTTTAACATAGAAATGTATCATGGAGCGTTGTTTTGAGGAACTGATGAAAATTCCAGTTTTATTATTTACTAATAAAGGTCGGGTAGACATGAAGCTTTTGAAACTGGGTGTATCGGTGATGTAGAATGAAACTTCTGCTTCTGGGTCTTAAACCTGTGGCTTAGAAAGTTCGAAAATCTTGTTTGACCACGACGATACATGCTGCTTACCTGCTGCCTAGAGGCTGAGGACGTTCAGTTATCTGTGTTTAACTTTTTAATAGCTGAGTAATGCAGTTGGAGAGATCTGATGTTTAGATTAGATGAACTTTTTTTTCCCCCTCGGGAAATTCTTGTGCGTACGTCGAGCACAAACGAACACGCATGTAGTACGAGGCAGAGCAGGTGCAAAGACACTACACATAGTGCAAACACGTATGAAAAAGTGCATAATACACAAATAATGTCCTGAGCGATTATTATGAAGTATTAATGAAGTGAGAACAAAATGAGTCACGTGGTTTTTTTTCTTGGTGTATGCAGATTTTTTTATATATACACTGAGACATCCTTAAGCTTTTAGATGAACAGCAGGGATTTCCATAACACCATCCTTCAGTTACTGTAATTTTATGGAATTGTAAATAAATGCAATCACCTATTTCTGCAGTATACTGTACAACTGAGAAGAAAAGATTGTTTGGCAATGAGATGTAACCTTGTGTCAAGGGTTAAGCAATTAAACTTGTATGTTGAGAATTATAAAATGTTTTGAAACTAAAATTATGGCATCTCTGAAGATAAATGTTCAATTTCTCCCCACCAAGAATTTTTCATTGCGACAATCATTTGTCAGTTTCAGCTTGTATTAATTAAATGTCACCTGCTGTTTCCAGAGCTGCACCCCCATTCCCCTACCCCCCCCATCAGTCAGAGAACATGGCTCAGGAGACCAATCAGACACAGGTGCCAATGCTGTGCACTACAGGATGTGGCTTCTATGGTAGCCCTCGCACCAGCGGCATGTGTTCAGTCTGCTACAAGGAGCACCTTCAGAGGCAGCAGGGAGGCGGCCGCACAAGCCCTCCTGGAGAGAAAGGTGACACTGCCACTGCCCCCACTGGCAGAAACTGTACCACCATGAGTCTTTAGTGATTGCTATACCTTCTGCTTTACCTTTTATTACCATCCTTGATTACTGTTATTAATGTTTTGTTGGTCTTTTTGTGCTTCGTATTATAATTATTTATTATTCTTTTAAATGGTGATTTTTGTATGTGTATGTCACTGAACGTCTAAGTTTCCCGCTGGGTCAATAAATGATCTATCAATCTAAAATCCTTTCTTTGTATATAAGTCGTGTTGGTGTCATATCTTATGTCTTATGACAATGCTGTTTTTTTTTTTGTTTTTTTTTAAACTTCACGCACAGCTGCTACGCCACCTGCAGGACCTAATGATGGCATTGGCTTTTCTGTTGAAAGTGTCCCAGAGCCCAGTACCGATGAGGCTGCCCAGTCTGAAGAAAGGACATCAAGGTTTGTGGAGAAAGACCTTCTTTTGTGTTGTTTCTAGAGCAGATTTGAAGACACTGTCAGGTGCACCTTTTAAAATGTGTAGGTTGTGGAGTAATGTCACATAGCAAACATCAAACAAATTTTGTGTGTTTGTCCTCAAACTGCTGGTCTGTCCTGGTATCAGCTCCCCCAGTCCAGTTACGCAGCAGATGACCGCTATGAGCATCAGCCAGGAGAGTGCAGCTGCTGACTCTGATCGGGCTGAGGAAGAGGAGGAGGAAGGGTCATCCACTCCCAAGGGTACTGGTTACATTTTACATTGAAGTTATTGCAGCGTCTTCGTTTCTCTGTGGTCATCTTTGCATGTCTATTGAAAGAAAATAATCAGCAAAATCATGTAATTCAGCAGTACCTTCCATATTTTAGATTCCTCATATTCTATGTTAACCTAACCCGGAAGCCTAAAAAGTTTAGTGCACCCTTGAAACATACATGATCCTCATAACATTAACCACTGGTGTGTACATTCTTCCATTTTCTAATCATAAGCTTTTTATGAATTCTCAGTGATTTACATTAAGGATTGTTACATTTGCACATTTGGGGGTACTTCAATTGGAAACACATTTTTAATGTTGCACACGTAGTTTCTTGGACGCTGCAATTAATTTTTTTTATATCGCGCCTTTCACAACAGTCACCCCCCAAGGCACTTTACATGGGTGTGTTGTGGTACATTACAACATCAAGACAGATTTGCAGCATTAAGTACTAAAACAGACACTGGTTTTTATATTTAGACAGCCTTATAACAGCTGGTTCAGTTCACCTTTTTGCAGCTTCGGTTGTAACTCTGTTTATTTGAATAATGACCATAGTTTTTAGAAGTTAGCTGTGAATTCCATTTATCCTTTTCTCGTTATGTTCACTATAGTAAGTATCTTCCGATTTTCCACCTTGAGCATACTTGAGTTGCGAGTAATGTGTTTAACCTTTTGTATAAATCTTACTGTGCATAGTGGTTTCCAAAGGTAGCTTTATTTTTATCTCTGTCATGGTGTCTGTAATATAATTTCCCTTTGGGAAAGTGGGACACTTATCTTGATTTATTTTTGCATGATACTCCTAAATACACCATGCAAACACTCATATTGTTTCTGCATGATACTGTCATGTTTTCAAAATGGTTCATGCAATTGGGAAATCGAGTCGTCATGAGAGACCCAGAGATGATGTCTTTGTTTGCCCTTTCTATCAACTTGTTCTGCAAGATTGTGAAATTGAGTTGAGGGTGACGAAGCATGAAGTGTCATTTTGTAATTGCTGCTGTTACTAAGGTTTGGTCTAGAAATGTTGTCATGGTTACAGTTTTGAATGTCGTGAAGCATCGTCATAACTGTCATGAGATATTTGCAAATGAGCTCAATGTCTTCAGATCATGTGAAGCTTATTGTTGTCATTGGTGCTTTATCAGAGATTTACTGTGGATGTTATCAGGTCCGGCCCTGGAAGCGGCACAGGCTTCTTCTGATGGAGACCAGACCCCTGACAAAAGTAAGAAGAAGAATCGCTGCTTCACCTGTCGGAAGAAAGTGGGCCTCACAGGTAAGACTCGGCAAATGTATTGTAGTAGACCCCAAAAATGAAATTATGAACAGTGGAAATGAGCGCAATAGGGCCCCTTTAAGGAAACCACATTAAACTTTGGATTCAATGGCCATGTGTTAAAAGAAAGTAATACAGAATTATCATTGTATTCTGCAAATGCTGATGTTGAGGGAGGTATGCAAATTTTAAATTCAAGCACTTTTATTGTCATTGTGTAACACAAAGAAATTACTTTTATGACAACCCCAAGGTGCATTAAGAAATGCAAAATAAAGCTCAATGAAATAATAAAAAAAAACATAAATATGTCAAAGTGTTTACCAAGATGCCATGTACAATATTAAATCTTCAATCAGATTTCTAACCATAGCAGAATAACCACAACACACACTATCACACTAGTGTACAGTAACATAAATTATTCACATATTGCACTTTATTAATAAATGGTAAACAGTGTATTGCACATCCAGCATGACTTATTGTATGTATTCAGTGTGAGATTCTCACTCGGGGTTCACAGTTCAGCAGGTTTATGGTTGTTGGGGGGGGGGGGGACGCTATTTTTAGTCTGTTTGTATATGCACAAATTGATCTGAAGCGCCTTCCTGATAGGGGGCGCTCGAACAAAGTATATCCAGGATGAGTGATGTCATTAATGGTGTTTTTAGCCGTTCTCACACAGCGAGTCTTGTAATGGTGTTCAGATCAGTGTACACAGTGGCCTGTGTTGTTCTTACAACTTGACGTAAGGCTTTTTTACCTGCTTTGCTGCAGCTGCTGTACCATGCTGTCATGCAGCTCTCTGTAAAACTCTGTTCATTAAATGTACACTTTGACACTGTCTGTCCCGCTTTAGGCTTCGACTGCCGTTGTGGGAACCAGTTCTGCGCCATCCATCGTTACTCTGACAAACACGACTGCCCCTATGACTATCGAGGAGCTGCTGCAGCCCGTATTCGCAAGGAGAACCCTGTAGTGGTGGCCGAGAAGATCCAGAAGTTGTGAGAAGGAAGACGGAGAGTCCCTAGAAACGCAGGCTCGGAACAAATGATGCGCAGTGCCGGACGAAATGACTTTCTTCACTTGTACTCTGTAGGGCAAGGAGGGTGGGGCTTGTATTAGATTCCACCGAGTGCTTGCATATTCGCCATCTTCCTTATTACAAGTGATGGTGCGTGTGGCCCAGTGGCTGGTTTGGATGTTTGTGTTCTCCTTTGAGAGAGAGCAAAATGGTGATGTTGCGTTTGGAAGGTATCTGATACTGCTTTGTGGGGGGTGGGGCATTTTTAGTTTTAACCCTTTTTCTGAACTTTTTGAAGTGTGTGTGTGGTTTTGTATTTCCCCCCCAGATGTTAGGTAAATGTGCTTGAAGGTCACCTAAGATACAGGAGCAGCTTTAGCAAACAGCAAAATAGTGATCTGTGGGAATGACACGCGAGGCACAGTTAGCAGTAAATGCAGTATTGCGGTAACCTAAGGATGGTATTTTCCCCAAGTGAATGGACTCTGCACTATTAGCGCTCTGACGATGTATGAGGATCCTCCCCCTTTAAAATACATGATCTTAACCTTTATCATACTGAAATAACCTTTTAAGAGGTGGAGGCTGTGACATTGTGAAAAGAGTGATTGAGATTTTTTTTCTTTTTTCGTGCGTATGATACCATAAGATCTATATTAATATATTGTAGCTAGCTTGATTTTTGTGTGATTGCATTCTATTTATTTTCTTTTTGATTGGTTTTTATTGAAAGATTGCCAGCATTGCGGGTGAATCATGAGGTTTGTGCTTCTTTTAACCTTTTGGATTATGCATTTTTGATTATATATCCAACAAGAGAAAATACAATTTATTATGTAATGGAGTAGAGTCCTGTTAATACAATATCCGGTTTATGGACAAGGGTAGTTCATTAGCTAGAAGTTTTTAATTGATCTGCTATGTACTTTGGGTGAGGAGAATTCCTGCATAGGCCAGATACTTTCAGAATTACTTTTTACATTTCTAGTGATGGTACATTAAACTGAAGTGTGAGATGTAAAGCTATACACACTTGTCCATTGCTGCAAGACGTAGTTCATAATTTGAGCAACGCTAATACAGTAGCTGAGAAAAGATTCTGCTGTCAGCGAGCTGATAAAGAACTGGTCTATAATGATCCCAAGAAGAAACATCTCATCTTAAAGTTTTATCTTTTGGTGAAGAAAATCCATTTTGTTTGTGAAATTGTACTGGACTGATTTGACATAAAGCAGTAATGAAGTCAATATCTACATACCCTGTACGTTTGAAGAGAAAGTGTCATTACTTGGATACAAACTTTTTCCAGAAATTAACATTCACTGATAAAGAAGGCTGCCTGAATGCACATGCAACATTAACACAATGTATTGACTGGTAACGTATTATTGAACCCTGAATTAATGGGACTCTATTTCAGATGTAAATACCATATGGTTACTATTAGTATAATCTCGTATGTAGAATTTTCAGATGAGTGTGAAAGAAGGGTTACATATTTATTTGGTGTGTACACAGTGTTTCATTGCTCGATTGCAGCTGGTTTTTACTCGTGAGAGAATGCACTGGCACTGCTGGGATTTAGCGCCCCCCACTGGCAGGCCGTGCCTCTGTCCTTGAGTTGTGGTGGCCTCAGTCAAAGGGCTGAGGCTTAACTTATATGATGGCATTGAAATTCCCCCTGACTCCCTGTGCTTTGCTTCTTCAGTGCTGCTCAGCAAACGCAGACAGATGCACATCGGTTTGTTAGACAGGCATTTCAGTATGGCTTCTGTTTGCTAAGTGTCTTCAGGTTCTGCTTGTTATACTGTTGAACTGACCTCCAGGTTGAATATGCTTCAAGTCTCTGTAGCAGATGGTGAGCAACTTTGCCCATTTTAATTTTATTATTATTAATTTTTTCTTTTACACCATGCAATTTCTTAACCAGACCTCACATTGAAACACATTGAATCCCAGTTAATGCAGATGATGCTGAATGTGTGCTATATATATAAATAAATTTTAAAATGCCTCAAAATGTCATACCTTACTATATATATATATAGATAGTAAGGTATGGCATTTTAAAATGGAGAATTTACACATCCCCCCCGCCCCTCTGAATGATTTTCCCTTCCTGTGTCAAATACCCAGTCATTTTTTTTCCTTTCTGGACTTACGCCAGCTTCCTCACGTCCACCTTTTATAAACAAAATTAAGGCCTTGTTTTTATGGACCTAAACCTCTTGCAGAATGGCCAGGTGAAAAACTATTTGGAAGTACTGGCATTTGTCTTCACAAGGTGATATTGACGACTTCCTAATCTGAGCCAGCTGTCATTCAGATTAATTATGAAAGAGTTCTTGCTGTTTTACTTCAGGCAGTAAGTGGTACAATTTTTTTTTCTGGTTTGCAGTTTGTTTTTTTTGCACAAGAGGGTTGAATGTCTTGTGTAGCCTGCAAATGAGTACAAATGCAATGAGCTTCTGAAACGAGCCCTGACATTACTTGGACGACGTATGTTTGTGAGCTACTCTCCTGTTTTAAGGGGATACATACTACATGTGATTAACCTTCCACAAAGCCTTATTTACTTTGGACTCAAATAATGAGGCTGGTTGCTCCAAATGGTGTCTGGGTGTCGGCATGATTGTGAGGTCAGTTGTACATGGTGACAATCTTTCATACATAATGAAGCGTGACCTGGCGCTGGCCCTCTGGATTGGACCAGTGTTTTCTCCAGAGGCTGAAGCTGCACCCCATTACATTGTGCTGTTTCTTTTATGAAATACCAGCAGCCATGTTTTGGTAACTTAAATACTCTACTGTGGTAGTTCGCACTGGCTACAGGAGCCAGGAAATTGTACTTGGCAATACACAGTCAAATATGATTTTGGTCCCTGCTTTCTGCTAAGGAAACTGGTTGCCTGCCTGGTTCAGTCATTGTCCTCAGCTGGGCGAAGTTACGGTGAATGAATGGAGGTCTTTGTTCAGGAATGAGCATAACTGGAGTTGGCTTGGATGTCTTTCTATAGCCCGGTAATGGCTAGTAGGAAGTGTGCAGTAGTAAATGGGATTGGTGAATTATGACCCCAGCATGATCGGTGAAGGAAGAAGTCGCTGGATTCGTTTCAGGGCAAGGAAGCTGCATGGCAGGACGTCCCAGCAGTCAGAGCACCTTGGTTATTTGAAATACCAGTCAGCCATGTTAGAGATTCTACCAGGTAACACTTTTTCTGTTTTTATAACCTTTAGGATTGTATGGTGTGTCCAACTATGTTTAAAACAATAAAACAAAGTTTATTTTAAATGTATATATTGTCAGTTTAATAAGCCTTAAAGACCCCACTATTTCCTTACGGGTGGGTTCCTCTTCTGAATTTCTGTAAATTACCTGGATCTTACATAATCACACCTGCTAAAGTTGCTCATAATTCCATGCTGTCTACATACAAAAAAAAAAATACATTTTATCATTGGCCTAGAGCTATGCTAAGATTATGCCAGAAGTTCATATTCCTGCTGGGTTGAAACCTAATTGGCTGGGAGCAGCGTGTAGCTCGGTGCGTTAAGCCCTGGGCCTGTGATCAGGAGGTTACTGGTTCAAACCTGGCCTTGGCAGAGTAGTTATGGCTGTGGGCCCTTGAGCAAGGCCCTTAACCCCCAGCTCTGTGGGTGCTGCTGGAGAGGGCCGCCGTTTGCTGCCAAGCTTGTTCTCACCTATGAGTGTCATGGACAGGGTAGGCAAAAAGTGATTTTCCCCACAGGGATCAATATACTGTTATTTCTGTAGGCTGCACATTTTCCAAAGTGCATTACTGAAATCAAAGAGGGCTGAATAAACTCAGAATAAAGTTGGTATTCAATCAGGTGACCTGAACATCAAATACAAGGCCAGGATTAGACATGCATGCCCTATACCACTTCAGAAATGTTCTACAGCTTCCTTAGTGTCTCCCAGGAAATCTATAATCAGTCATCTGTTGAGCAGGGAGCTTGATAATTAGTTGTTTCCAAAAACATTCCTCCTGTTAAGAAGGGAGCTTGAACTACATATCAGTGCACACTGTTCTGACATTCTAGTGAATTTGGTGAATTCTTTCTAGAAAATACATTACACTCTTACTGAACTGCAAACTGCTTTGTTCAGAGTTTACACCCCTGTTAATCCCTGCACATATCTTCACACTGCAATGAAACTCATGTTCCAGTACCAGCTGTTTGTACTTGTTCTTATTTTACCTTTGGTTTCGCTCCTTTATCAATAATTGCAATGGACGTAAAGTCTCACATAAATGTCATCTCAAATCCTAGTAATCTTTGATCGCTCTTCCTTTTTACTGCTTTCAGTAATGAACACGAATAAGTTTTAACCTCGTTGCCGATCTCTTATTTCTGACCAAATAACATGTATAACATTTGACCAAAAGTGATATTTCCTCAAGCTGTCGTCAAAAGTCCACACCACACTAAGATGACGATTAGTGTTTCCAGCGAATGTGGCTAATTGACGCCGTGTAGAAATAAGTGAAGCGTTACACCTTTTAGATAATTCGAGCACACCAAACACGGTACATATTTTGTTACAAAAATATATTGTGTTTCAGTCTATTTAGAACGTAACTATACTAAGAAAAACATTAAATATGTAATTATACCTGACATCAAAATGTATATATGTGATATTTGAGCTGCGACTGCTTTGATTATCTCTATATTTAAATGTATGGAATGTGGTTACAGCAGCACAGCGAGGAGACAAACACAGACACACACACACACACAGTACGTCAAACTCACAAAAAAACACGGGCGCTTCCAGTCGCAGGAGCGCGCTGCCAGTGCGCGTGTCGTCTACGCGTAACTTCCTGTTTCGTCACTTCCCGGTTCGCCGGGACAGCTTTGGGAAAAATCCGTAAAATTAGACGGACAGAAAAATGAATTAATTGTCGCGTTAATGATAGAGGCTTTTATTTAGATCCATTAATGCTTACGACGAATATTTGGGACGCCGGGCTTTTGTCGGGTTTCAGGCAAGGCATTTAACGCTGTCGTCTCCATACCTGCAGACTGGTTTCATTTAACTTGAATCGGTGTTTTCGCTAGAGACGGTGGTGGTTGCGGTGTGACAGTCCGCTCCGGTTAGTTAAAACAATACGTGTCCGTTTCTCACGCTGACATCGGTGCGGTCGTGATGCAATTAACACCGAGAGGCGGTTCGGTCTATTATAAGTGTGTAACAGGCTGCCGATCGGCCACGAAGAGCAGGGCGATCATAACCAGCATTTAGCTGTCTCCACGCTGCTTGACCAATCGGTCCCTGGGGATGTTTTGAGCTAGCTTGTTAGATAGCCGCATTGCACGTCCACCAGCGACCGACCCGGGAGATCAGACAGCAAACTACCCGGCTTGCCGGTTTAATCAAGGAATACCCCGGCACCTGTGCTCGATGCATCGTGTTAGCCCTTCATATTAATTTAGAAACATGAATTGTGTGGTTAAAATGGATGAGAGAAATCATTTTGTTGATCGTGCGTTAATTATAGCTTTCGGATAGTTAGCTATGTAATTCTGTGTCCCTTTTCGTTTTTTCTTGCTCTGTAAGAAACGTCATACTTCATTAGCCCTGATTTTCAGTGCCCGACTGTTCCGAGTTTCCTAGCAGCAGTTAATAATGTAACGATTAATGTTTTTTGCAACTATACACGTTTTAGTTTATATTTAGGAACTGTGATGGATGTGTTTAACTGGGCAGAATTCGCTGGTTAGTTTTGGGGTATCGTAGCTACTTCGGCAGTTTTGTGCGTGTAATTCTTTATCAAAGGATCTGCGTGGAAGTCAAGATTATTTATCAGGTATTTTTCTTTAAATCATAACCAGCCTCATTCACTACAGCTGATTGCTAGATATGTATTTACAACCTCCACTGTCCAACCGCTTGAGGTCGCCTGATTTACGATTAAATTTGTTTTGTTTTTTTTTTTTGGTCAGTAACGGAGTTAAGCACAACTTTTGCTGTGAAACTTTGTTAATGTTGTACTTCAGTGGTGCTTAGTAAATCTTTAGGATGTTTTGCTTGGTAGCGCCTTGCATGATACTGAAGTACGTTTCTCTAGGTAGGCGTACTTAGAAATAGCAGATGTGTTGCTGTGTGTATCTTGTTCTCTAGGGTGACACATTTCGGCCATGGTCATCCCCCTTCTCTCCCTCTGCAGTGGAAGATGAACGGCCTGTCTGTGAGTGAGCTGTGCTGCTTGTTCTGTTGCCCCCCGTGTCCCGGCCGCATTGCCGCCAAGCTGGCCTTCCTACCCCCAGAGCCCACTTACGCCCTCCTGCCGGATCTGGAGACTGGTTCAGCCGTTAGTGGAGCAGCGGGAGGCTCCAGCCTCCGGTCTCGGGGCTCCGGTGGCGGCGGCGGCGGCGGCAGCAGCAGCAGCAGTAGTGGTAGCACCGTCCCTGCAGGTGGAGCGGCCAGCGGGAGTGGCAGTGCCGGCGGAGAAGGCAGATGGAAGCTCCACCTGACGGAGCGTGCGGAGTTCCAGTATTCCCAGCGGGAGCTCGATGCCACCGAAGTCTTCTTGACTCGCTCCAGCCGTGGAAATAAAATCGGCTGCATGTACATCCGCTGTGCGCCGACGGCCAGGTTAGTGGGGAGGTGGATGAACCTGTCAAAGCAGTAAAAATAATAACACAAGAAAATGTGTTGGGAGTATGATGGAGGGAAAGGATGAGGAGGCTAACACCTCCTTACTGTGGAGCTCTCCTCCTCTCCCTCCTCCCTGTAAATGTCTTGTTTGTTTCCCCCAAACTCTCGTGTATTCTTCCTGCTATTGGCACACTCTGAAGCAACTAACCCAGACTGTTAATCTATGAATATGTATAGAATTTGATAATCATACAATTCTGTGCCCCCCTTTTTGAACATGGTGTCTACTCTTCTCACCTACTGAAGTTATTAGCTTTACTTTGCTTGTGTTGCTGCATCCTAATGTGTTTAGTAAATTGAAAATAAGTATGTGGGTGTCGTGTTTACATCTGACTTTCATAAGGCGATGCTAGTATAGTACTTTAATTTTCCAAGCGATGTTTTGCCTGTGTTTGTTTTAGAATAATAATAGTCATTTATAAATGATGGTGTATTTTAAATGTTTAAATCAGCCACTCCGTAAGAATAAACTTTCATGGTGGAAGGGAATAAGCTCATTTAAATTAATAGTTATAAGTTTGGGAGAAGCATAGTGAGACTAAGTGTTATGATGGATCAGAGGAGCTGTACCCTGTACAGTGTCTGGTTCAGTGGTGTCTGATGTGTGCAGTTTCCTCCGCGATGCTCTCTGTGCCCTGTTCTCCTGCGTTTCTCATAAAGGTCGTTCAGTCCGCTCTCTGCATCTCTCCCCAGGTTCACTGTCCTCTTCTCTCACGGTAACGCAGTCGATCTCGGCCAGATGAGCAGTTTCTACATCGGCCTGGGCACACGCATCAACTGCAACATCTTCTCCTACGACTACTCGGGCTACGGCGTCAGCACGGGCAAGCCCTCCGAGAAGAACCTGTACGCCGACATCGACGCTGCCTGGCAGGCGCTGCGCACGCGGTACGAGGGACGCTCAGCCCGCCACTGTGACACTCCGGGTAGCTGACAAGCGGGGGCCTGCTAGGGGTCTAAGGGGAAGGCGCTCGTGAGGTTTTCTCATAGATCTGTCTCCTGGGAAACCAAAGCTTCTGTCTTAAAGTGTTGATTACTCAATCTGTCCATCTGTCCATCCATCCATCTGTCCATCCATCCATCCTTCAACCCCATACGCAGTGCAGGGTCTCAAGGGACCCGGAGACTATCCTTAGGTACGGCACTAGGATAGGACTGCCCTGGATGGAATGCCAGACTGTCAAAGGATGGACACACACACACACACACACACACACACACACAAAGATGCACCTAAGCTGCACGTCCATGGGCTGTGGGAGGAAATCTGTACACAGAAAATGGCAGACAGGGAATCTCCACCCCGGAAAGGCCCTGCCTAGTAATTAACTCTAGAAAAATAACAAAAATTAAATGGTTGTCCAGCTAAATATGCTGTAGGGTTCTAACATTGTTTTCATCGTTTGATCTAGTGATGTAAAATTTCCTGACTTAGAATCCCTGCTCCTGATCCACAGTGGGTCATACGGTGAACTGCAAACGCAGACACGCCTTTAGAGGTAAGATGGCGTATATTTGAGGTGACGGTTTCCCGCCGGTCTCTCGGGTGCAGATACGGCATCAGTCCGGAGAACATCATCCTGTACGGACAGAGCATCGGTACCGTGCCCACGGTGGATTTGGCGTCGCGGTACGAGTGCGCCGCTGTGGTGCTGCACTCTCCCCTGACCTCGGGCATGCGGGTCGCCTTCCCAGACACCAAAAAGACCTACTGCTTCGACGCCTTTCCCAAGTGAGTATGGCCTCGCTTCCGCCGCATCCCCCTCTTCTCGGGTTCTTGGCGACGTGCCGGCAGGTTCCGTCTGGTGGGCAGGTTCCCCCCTGATGCCATGACCTCTTCTGTTCTGTCCCACGGACGTTCTCCTGTAACTGGAGCCCACGAGTGCCATGTCACCTTGAGTCACTGGCTAAATAGTATCTGGTGTGATTCACCTGACACCAGTAGATGGTAATATGCCGCAGCGTCCATCTGAATGGGGATTAACTAGCAGACCCGCAGTCAGATATACAAACTCTCATTTGTTTCTGTTCGGAATCTGATTTTTTTTTTTTATAGTCTGTAAACTGTAGATATTCTCTCTCCCTCCATATTAAGTACTCTATGAGTAATATGGGGTCATTTTAATTTAATGGTGAGATCTTCCACACTGCTTGATGTCAGACGGCACCACACATATGTGTGAAAGTGACCGAGCACTTTACTGCGGTTCTGCGCTGTGCCGCGCCGAGCGGCGTCTCTGTGCTCTGTAGAGTGTCGTCCTGGTGGGGGCAGGGGGGGGGGGTTAGCCATCATTCTCCCAGTGTGATTCAGAGCTCGGCGTGGTGCTGCCTGTGTAGGATGGGTGACAAGCAGCTGACCAGCCTGGCAGATTCCATATGACAGCATTTATTGTGCCCCCCCCCCCCCCCCCCCCCCCCCCCCCCCCCCCCCCACAGTTCAGCTCCCCAGCTATACGACGGGTGGCATCGACTGTAGTACCCAGTACAGGAAAAGCACATTGATCTGAGTCTTTTCCATCTATCCAAGACCTTCACCGTCATTTGATTTCACCATGATAAATGAGTGTCGTTGGTTACCGTGGAGACTAAAGGGTGATAATTCACATGGCGGTGATGGAGGAGTGCACGGGAAATCCCTGTGAATCGGAGTGATTCCTCAGTGCTTCTGCGCTGGGGTATCATGGCCCGGTGTCCCGTCCTGCTCTCATCGGGGTTTTGGCCTCGGTGGCCTTGCTCTCTGTACGCGTCGGCTGGCCTGAGTTTATGATACTAATGTAAACAATGATCACGGTGGGTTGTATTGTGTGGTAAGATGTAAATTTCATTATGTGCTTTGAATCTTAACTGGAGCCCCCCGCCCCCCTTCTGATCTGACCGGCTGTTGGCCAGAGCTCCCTTTATCACCGGATAAAACATTCTGTGCATTTCCCAGTCCGGATACCTGTCAGCCAGCTGTACCTGAGTCCATATATATGTGTGTGTGTGTGTCTCCGTGTGTGGCAGCATCGAGAAGGTATCCAAGATCACATCGCCGGTGTTGATCATCCATGGCACGGAGGACGAGGTGATCGACTTCTCGCACGGGCTGGCCCTCTTCGAGCGCTGCCCCAAAGCTGTGGAGCCGCTGTGGGTGGAAGGCGCCGGGCACAATGACATCGAACTGTACAGCCAGTACCTGGAGCGACTGCGGCGTTTCATCGGCCAGGAGCTGGCGGTGCAGCACGCCTGAACGCCCCCCCCCCACGCGCGTGTCTCTGTGTGCAGGGCAGCGTGCTTTACGGAGCCCCCCTTCCTCCGAGCTCACAGCACACACGCACCAGCCGCTCCTCAGGTGAACTGCTCACCCAAGGCTATGTTCCCCCCCCTCCCCCTCCATTTTTTTCCCCAGTTTCCTTATTTTGCTTCTGAACCTTCTGCTTGTTACAATATGAGATGTTGTTCATCTTTTTACATCACATGACTCAGCTGGGTTTTTGACCCGATTTAATGCCCATTAGAAATACATGTAGCAGAGAAATGTAGAAAAATGCCCCCCTCCCTTTCATTTTGTATTATTTTACACTATTCACTCTTGTCAGTCGGGTCTGTCAGGTGTGCGTTGCAGGTTTTTAAAGACCAACGTCTTCTCTGTATCTCCTCATATCCCATTCCTGTGTTTTGATCCCAAGACAGTTTTCCTTGCTAACTCTGACCCGGGGTCGGCTCGTCCTACCGCCACCTCGGCTGCGACCGCCTCTCGAACCCGGGAGGAGACACGCTCATACTGTGAAGGCACCATGTGTCAGTGAACAGCCGGCCAGTCAGTTGCATTCTGGGAGATTCTCCAGTATCGGGCCAAGGCTGCTCCGTTTGACCACTACATTACCAACACGTACACGTGGTCCTTTTTAAACCTGTACAGTCTCATGCCACTACGTGATGTTAAAAGTGGGCGGCGTATTTATAATGCGAGAACCACTCATCATTGAAATATTTTTAATGCAGAAGCGAGACCGATTTGGGGGCAGGTATATAGCATGTGCGTATTTATGGAAAGTGTAAGTACTAGATATGTTTGTGTCATGGCACATAGCTCTCGCTGATTGAGATGAAGTGTTTTACTTAACGACATTGTTCAATAAATAGCCTGAACTTTGTTTTTAAAGCGGAGTCATTTAGTGGGAATGTGTGGAATTTGACATCCATGACGCACCTGCTTAATTTCTACCTGCGTGTCACTGTCCCACCCTCCTGTGCATCTGGCGGTGATGTAGACACTCGGATAAGTGGCGTGAATCTTTCCCAATCGCCTCTTTAGGTACATAGGCATTGCAAGTGCTCAGGGTTCCTGTTAGGCTACCGTAAGCAGAACTGTGAGTGTTAGCAAAGCCCCAGGCACTGGGAATTAGGAGCCTGTAACTCATAAGGTCCCGCATGACTGGTGCTGAAGTCTTTTTAGTTAGCCTGACGCCAGCCATCTTGAAAATTGAACTACTGTTCCCTGTATGGCCTGGCAGACTGGGAGACCGTCCACCTTGAGTTAATGTACAAGTATGAATATTCGTGTTGTATAGTGGAGGAATATTAAGGTTGAAGCAAATCGATCATAGTTTCACAATTTGCGTAAAAGGTGGGGGCACCTGGTATTTCCTCTGGTATTTTTTTTTTATTGGATTCCATCTGGATTTTATTTTTAATGATTTCTGTGTTGATTGTTGGGCGAGGTCTAGGTCACTGTCATGACTCAAATAGTGGCCCTTGGTCTATGGCCTGCAGGACTGCCGGTCGGTATTTGAAGGGAATTGCACTGTATTATACTGCAGTGCATGTTAACACACGACCCATAAGCATTTGATAGATATTTCATAAAAGGGATGCTGGACACTACCTGCTTGCTCTGACCAGACCAAACCCATCGCATTCACTAATACTGTGACGTTTTGGCAGAAACAGTCAAACCTCTGAATGCTCCTTGGATTACATACTTGTGTGTCTTAATGTTTGTTTTAAGAGTGGTTTTATCACTTTACACAGTGAAAGCACTTTTGTACGTGAATTTTGTTTTGTATAACTTCATACTGGGCAAACTGACAGAACAGGTTTTGTGAAATACCAGACTTGTGAAAAATATGACTTATGCATATAGTAACTAGTCAGGCTGTTTTTACACTGACCAATTCGGCTGGATGTAAAGTGTTCGCTGAACTTGCTGCTGTTGGGGAAAATCCCCCCACCCCAAATGCAATAAAAGGAGTGACCCTTTAGCACCCTCAGTATATTCATTAGTAAATCTTAGTCAAAAAAAAAAAGTGAAAGTCAGGCAGGATTTTCCAAGTCATGTTTTTATATAGATGCATCTTGTTGCTCCCCAGTAGCAGTGAAAGGTTGTCAGTGGTCTGCGTTGATTGTGTGATATTTGGGGCGGGAGGCGGGGGGGACAACCCTGTTGTTTTGCATGTGTGATGAATTGTTCAGGGTTAGCCTCCATCTCTGTTATGTTTTCTTTACATTTGGGAGTTGAACACTCCAGTATCGAGTTGGTTCCGCCGGCCAGTAATTTTTATTTTAAATCCATTTAAAACACCGACAAGTTAGTCAGGTCTCCCCTTAAGTGAAACTTGTGTGGGTACAGAGACAAGAAATACTTGAATATAAACTTGTCTGAATGGAATCCTGATTTGCTCGTGACTTGCGTTTTATCACGCACACTTTCAGTCCTTCCAGAAGTTTTTGGTACAAAGTCCACTCCTGAAGTAGCACAGGGCAGGGGATCAAACGAGGGCTTCTAACTTAGCAGGAGGTCCTGAAAGAATTTTGAAATAGTTTTGAGACAACATTGTGTGCTACAGCAGGCAGCCCCATGGATGGAAAAAGCTTTTTACTTTCCCAAATAGATTAAATACTGTAAAAGTTGTGTCTGGGTGTTGAATCAATACTTAATGCATTCATATAAAGCAAACTGTAATTGATGGGGCAGAGGTCATGCCGTCGCATGGCTGGTGTTTTCTTTGATGGAACCAAAGACAGCAGGTATCCTAACGCAAGTTAATAACTGGCGGACTCAAGTTGTTCAACGGCAGAAGGAATGAGCATCAGTGTGCCAGGAAACAGGCTTTCAGCATTAATGTTCGGTCCTGGGCCACAGCCAGGGCACTGCCCGCCTGGGGGGGGGGGAGTGGGGGGCTGGCCAGAGAACACGCTCACTTCAAAGGGGGACACGGAGGCAGAGTGTGAGTCTGCGCACATCTTTGTGGGGGGTAGAAGAGATGGATTGTTTATTTGGGTGAAGAGGGCAGGCTTCTGGCACGATTCCAAGGTGTGTGCAAAATACTTTTATGGTTTTTTAAAAATCTCTACATATGGACTGTGTTGCATTGTTTTTGGGTTACAGGACAGGTTGGGTTAGGATGTGCTGTACTATATCTGTTTGCTTAATTTATTTTAGTCTGTTTTTCTTTTTCCAGAGATGATAAAAGTTTAAAAAGTATACATTTTATGGTATTACTGAGCTCACACTGGTATGAATTACTGATGAATCAGCACTGCACTGAATTTAAGAAAACTGAGACTGGCAGGCGAAAGCACACCATTGTGTGTCCTGAGCTAATCGGTGAATTCACTGTTTCACATGATTTCCTGTAACCTTATTTCTGTCCGGCAACATGGTTTGGTCCTGCAATTCTAAATTAGTCTATGGAAAATGGCAGCATACCCACTTTGTGTTTCATCTTCCATACGAACAACGTCACTGCAGTCTGACACAGTGATGTGAACGGTTTCTGATGCTACAGTCCAGGTCTGATCTGTAAAGGGGTTTACATTGGGACGGGTTAATGAATTTAACTGTTAAGGCTGATTCAAATACAGTGGTGATCTGAGCAATAAAATATTTTATCCACCTGGAAATATTGTGGCTTTTTAAAATCACACACAAAATGTAAGTCATCTTCTTCGCTTTATTCTTTTTCTCAAGCGACCGTTTTAATGCAAAGCGGGGTTTAATCTTGCTTTATATACTGTGAATGACAGAAATCTGCGTACTAGTATATGGAAAGTTAGCTTCAGGCTAAACACTTGTGACAAATATAATAAGCATATTGCGCTCGACCAGGACATAACTTCTGAGATTTCCTAATGCGCTGCTGTTTGACCGTCACTCTTAATTCATCCAGTTCCTGCGGCTTCGGCCAGTAAACAAAGCAGAGAATTAATCTGGGAGCGTGGGGGGCCTCCTTAAATAGCGACTGCTTGCATTTTTATGATACAGGGACAAAGGCAGCTCTGGGAGCCCAGCAGATGGGCTAGGCTGTTATACCTAAACCAAATAGCTCCAATTATGTCTGATTTCATTATTATAGCATAAACCACGTGTCTCCCCTCGTTTCTGCTCCACAGTCGGTGATGGAAAGAAAGGGCTGTAGTTTTGCCAGATGGGCTCTAAGCTTCCACAACCTCGCCCTTCTCGGTACAGACTTGTATTTACACAACGAGAAATAATGGAAATAGTACTCCCGTTTATGCAAATTCGTGTACCTGCACGTAGCCCGTAGAGTAACGCTACAAAGACGGGGAGGGTATTTCTGCAAGCCCACGAACTGCAGGCTGTTCGCTGTGTTTCTGCGCAACTTCTGTCACTGAAATCCTGGGCAAAAAAAGAAATGGGTATGAAAAATCCAACACATACAATGAAAACAAAATATACTTATTTGGTTTTAAACGAAGGTGGGATATTACAGTGCAATGAAGCATATCATTGAGTGTTTTTCAATTAACAAGCAGTTGGGAATTAAACCCCACGAAAGCACATGGCACACCCCTGGAATCCCTTCCCTCTTTCCCCTGTAAAATCCTTCCTTTTCCCCGCCTGTAGTTCACGTCAGTCGGCGTCACTCTCGCTACGTGATAGCCTCCGTTCCCTGGGGGTGTGAACCGAACCGGCTCGGCTTTCCGCAGACAATGAAGCGGGGGCCGCCTTCTGCACGCACGCTGCTCTGGAAGTGCGCAGGTAAACGGCTCCGGAGCGTCGGCGACCGGGCTGCCTAACTTCGCTCCGTTGTTTTTTTTCTTCTCTTCAGTCTTTCGAACCAGATTTTGTCACATGACCTTTAGTTCAATTGAAGTATTTACGAATTCGGGGGGAAAAAAGAAACTTAATTATAAATTCACAGCGGAGGATCTTTTATTCTTTGCGTCACTCGCAAAGCAGAAATTAGAAAATGTCAGCGTTTGGGTCCTCAGATTACTTAGCCGCTGAGTTGCTGGTGCTGATGTCGAATGGACCCGTCCTGCACCCTTCTACCCCTGCAGGCCTGGGTCCCCTCCAGGGCCTTACGCGGGCCGATCCGGGTCAGGGGTCGAGCGAGGATAGGGAGGTCTATGATACATTAAAGAAGGGACGCGACATTATAACCGTAGCCGCGAGTTTCGCGGAGCTTCGTGGCCAGTTTCGCCCGATGTCGACCTACTCGGAGAGCAGCAACTCCTCCGCGGGAGACCCTGACAGCCTTTCGTGCGGCGAGAGCGGCTACACCACGTTGTCTGAGTCCACCACTCCGACCCCCACGATGACTCCTTCCGCCACCCCGACGCCTGGGCAGCACGACCTCCCAGCGCAGCCCCGTGGCGTGGGGGCGCCGCGGTACCCCTGGAAGCGACACCCGTGTACCTTTGATGGATGTGACAGAGTCTACGGGAAATCGTCCCACCTGAAGGCGCACATCCGGACCCACACAGGTGCAGTCAATGCTGGGGAGGGATTGTCCAGCTTATACTCGTTATGTTTTATATTTTGGTCCGTCTATCAAACTGTTGCATTGCAATCGGTGGCGCACAATTGTCATTTTGATCAACAGGTCAGACTTAAAACTTTCCGACAATTCCTACAGACCTTAAGCCAGACAGTGGTGCGGGTGGCTGACGTTTATGAGCAATGACTTAAGGAAAATGGCCTAATTTGTCTAGTTTGTCAGTCCGCTTTGCACTCCCACATAGTATTTTATGGCCTGGGCGAGGAGGGCGTATGATTTTTTTGACCACGTTGAAGTTAGTCATTACTGTGCTGCCCAAAGTCTCCGGGATCCGTCCGCCCGTGCGGAGTAACCAGGAGTATTTACACGTTTTGCCCTCCGCGCAGCACCGAACGCCAGTTTTCATAAGTTTATCTGAGTCTGAAAGAGTTGAAAACGCGGCTTTGTGGCTTCTGCTGTACAAAGTAACAAAGACAAATCTCTTAGTACGGAGAACAAAGAAGTAAACGAACAAAGGAACGAGTGGCGAAAGTAATGCAGTGTTTGCTTAGGAAGGAGTACAGCGCGGAAATTCGTTTCAGTAACAGATTTTCCGTAAAAGATTTTTATTGCATTGTTCCGGCGCCCCGATCCCCTACTACCGCGACGCCCTTTCTGCCTACAGCCGATGGCTTCGTGGTGATGGGGGCACGTCGCTGCCCTGTCGCCGGGTTCAGACGATAATCGTTAACGCCGGGAGACATGGGTGTCGATGGAAACGGGCGTTTTTGGGAACGTCACTGTGATAAGATGGTGGTGTCTATATGACTACTTTTTAATGAAACTGGAGCCACGATGCACACAGGTACCTCTTAGTATTATGTTGCGGTTTATGAAATAAGATACCGCCGGTAGGTTTTCAATGCCGTGTTCGTACATTAAAACTATGACGTTGATGACGTGATAGCTGGCTTCCTTTTGCAAAGCGGTTCACAAACCCGTTGCGTGGTGTTTTGTGTAACGTTACTGCAAATAAACACTTGATTTTGTTTCCCCCCCCTTAATTTAAGCTTCCTGAGCGCTTACACCTCCGCTGCTTCAGTGCAGCACGTGACGTGCTTGTACGTTTCCACGTGGAGGAGACATGATGAACCCATTAACCCAAAATAACCAGTAAAATCTCGTCGGAAGGTCACAAAACGACATTCTTCCCCATATTTGTAATTATTTCTTAATTTTTCGAATTATTCAGGCTTCAAGTAATTTATATATGTTTGTTTTCTATGACCAAAAAGAGTAAAATGTGTTTTTCCCCCCTTATGTTTGGGAGCCTTGAATAACGTTTAAACTCAAAACGTTTATGTTTTTATTCTCAAAAGTATATTAGGCACGTACGCGTTTGGTAACGTGTATATTGTTGCTTCTTTACTGCAAGTGACGTTTTTATTTTATTTACTTTTATTTACGGCAGCTTTGAGGGAACAAAAACGTGACCTGTCTGTGGGTCCCTGAGGGCTGGATTGGGAAGCATTTCTCTACAGTATCGGCTGTGCTTTTGCGTACTATTTGCATATGCCGATTTATAAAACCTGCAGTGGGGATGCCACTTGTTCCTGTGGGAATAGCCATTGGTCAGAGAACAGCATCAATCCCCTACAACCATAGCAGCTCTTAATTTCCCAGTCAGCTCCTTAACGAGGCTGTTATCACAACACGCGTTTAACTGGCCCTCCATACCCTGCGCTTTTAAAACGCAATTTTCCCGCGCATTCCGAGGGAGATCGGTATTTTACAGTACGCCAAGTAGTATGTGTGAAACTGTTTAATTTCGCAGTTGTTTTCGTATGTACTGCTCAGAGTGTCATGCATTTCTGTGAGGCCCCCAGGTTTGGAGACCCCTGTTGGCCACAAGCAGGCATTACACTTGAGAGAGGGGCCTGGCTTTTGGAGTGGGGCCCCCAGAAACGACCAATCCATGCTCGTGCGAATGCAGAACAGTTCTCAACGAAATGACACTGGCGCAAATATCTCACAGAGATCTACGTGAACGGCACTGATATGCTTCTTGCTAACAAAGTTGGCAAACCAGTGATGCAGCGTAAGGTGAGGGTGCTGAAGCCTCAACAAGCCGGGTGTTCATACCACCAAGGGGTTTAGGTTTGTGACGTAAACGACTCTGTTATGAACTCGGTTTACATCAAATCCAAACACATGCTGCACATACTGTGTGTTTGACAGCGTAACCAGCCCCTCTATGCACCGTGTGTCGTTTACCATGTGACAGTCCGATGTTAACTGTTTTTAGTTCAAGATATAGTTACTAAATTTAGATCCATTGAGACTGATTATTTACAAAGGGGTGAGACGCACAGGCAGCACTGAGATGTGAAACCAGTCAGTTTCAGCACAACATTGGTCTGTTTTTGTTGTAGTTCAGAGGCTCCAACAGTGAATACAGGCGTTGTGCGTTCAGCGTTTTGCTGGTTTGACCTGTCATTATAATAATTGTGTTCAGAAGTGCTGTTACAATTCTTCTGATAACTCTGGTTGCAGTTGTATCCACGAGACTGAAACTCTTATCGTAATATCGCCCTCCACTAACTGCAGTTGTACATTGCAGTCAACATTGATTAAGTTGATTAAAATTGATATGGTTTCATTTCTGTTTGCTAGGAGGAGCTTCTGCGTCGCGTGGAAACAGCAGAATGAGCCTGCAGAATTCAGCACTCGGTTCATTTCACCTCAGTTATTATTTTGTCTATTATGGGAAAAGCACAGCAGTCTACTATAAACACAACAAATATCTTTCATCGTTCCCTCCCCAGCTCTACCTTTGCCGCATAGCTATTCGCCAGCGTGAGTCACGTCCTGATAAATGGATACTGTTTTATTTCTGGTTGGAATTTCTCTTTCAGTGTTTTAGAAAAACCCTCCACTTGAATACAGTAGTAAAATAACAGTATAGCAGATGTGTCTTGAACAAAGCAATTAAAAGGAGCTTAGCAGCTCTGCCACCTTCTTCTGCATGATGGACCCGCACAGATGGTCCCCTCCGTCTCTCTCTGTCCTTTGGCGAAGGCGTGTTTAATTGTAGGCACCTTAAAACCATTGCTGCTTTGTGATGGGGTATTTTTAAGCTGTGACGCCACGTAACGTGGGAGCAAACGGTGAAGTGTGGCGGTGATGCAGCACTGTTTACTGCGAGGGATGCGTGCTAGACCGTGGGATGGGCCACTAATGTGTGTGACACGGGGCTGGGAGGAGAGTGTGGCTCCTCCCACAACTGTCTCTGCCTGGGACTCTTATTCAAATTCAATTCAAATTCAAAATAACTTTTACTTATGTAAGACACTCACTGCTTGGATTTGCCCTTCAGGCGCCAGTGTAGGACAGATGTGCAGTTTGATTGATCTGGTGGCTGTTGTGTGGCTTGCGCTGTGTCTGAGTGAGAGAGCGTGACTTTCAGTGACCAGGCATGTGGGTAGGGGGGTGGTCACAATGGGAAATGAGAGGTGTAGATGAATACAGCCATGAGAGGATGGTAAATGACTCCTGCAGTATGAATAAAATGACAGTTTGATCCAGCACAACTCAAGAAAGCCTGATCGGCCCATTTATAATGCAGGGCTTTGGCAATCAATCTGTTGGGACTGAATGCTTCATGCTCAGGTAGACGCACCCTTCAGTGTGGTGAGGCGTCCGCGACCCGAGCCGGGCACGCGCCTCCTGCTGAAGATTGCCAGTCTTATGAGCTGCCTTAGGAGCAGTACTGCAGTGTGACGTTGCTGTTTGCTGTATTGCCATTTGGTTTCTAGTGTGCCCCCGTGACCCCCAGCTCAGACCTAAAACTAACCCCCCCGTGTCTCCTGCAGGCGAGCGGCCCTTCCCTTGCACCTGGTCCGGCTGCGAGAAGAAGTTTGCCCGCTCGGACGAGCTGGCACGCCACACGCGCACCCACACGGGCGAGAAGCGCTTCCAGTGCCCGCTCTGTGAGAAGCGCTTCATGCGCAGTGACCACCTGGTGAAGCACGCCCGCCGCCACCCCTCCTTCAGCCCCTCCATGATCAGCCGCCGGGGGCCCCCTCCGGCTCCCACTCAGGGGCTATAGCTTGCCCCCCCTTGCTGGAGTGATCAGTGATGCCGGTCTACAGCCCCTTAGACTGGATCGGCCTGCCTGCTTGGTCTCCATGGCGATCGGGGGCGGGGTCACTTCCCATGCAAACCCCACTGCTGTGGAATACAGATATAAAGCACAGCTGGACTGCTCTCCCAAATCTGCAGAATGACAACCTGCGTAGCATATGTTTAAAAATCTGGTGGTTTATTAGGGTTTTTTGGGGGAGGGGCCAGTGCAGCCATTGCTGCTAGAGTACGCCTCTGCTGTAACGGCAGCTGGAGTTCAGAAGGGTGCCCAGTGCGGAAGTAGCAGCCATCGTCTCCCATTACTGCTTCTGGCTGTGATCACGGCGAAAGGCGCCTGACACTGTCCTGTGACTTTTGCCTTCCTGCGGCAGGTCGTCTGCCCCCCCCCCCTTTTCC